TTTTAATACAAAAAATTATAAAATAACTAAAACAATGATCATCAAGCAAAGAACTACAAAATTGGATTTTATATATATTATTAGTAAGGTTCAACAATGAAAAAAATTGATGATGACATCATGACACTGATGTTACAGAATATAAATTTCTGGGCACCTTAATAAAAAATGATGGAAATCTGAAAGCGAGCTTAACAGCTCTGTAATATACCTGACTTAATATCGGGGACTAAAAGTAAGGCATAAAAGAAATTAAGAAATCAGAAACATTGAGCTACAAATTATTACATCGCATTACAAAAAGAGGCTGATACAATATAATAGTAACATCGATAATGAATAAGACAGATCAGTTCCAAATATATGAACTCAACATACTCAGATATGCAACATTCCTGCCCCAAAACGAAATATTCCCATATTTTTTTTAATGTTGATTTTGCAGATTTAGCAGAAAAAGCAAAGAAAAGTCTTTTTTTCTATTGAAAACAAATCCTGTTTTTTTGGGGCAATTTATCTCTTTTGATTCTCTTGTTTAGGCAATTTTGACATATAATGCAGAAATATCGTACATGGATACATATTATTCTTATTATAAAACGAAAGGCAGAATAAAATCCTGAAATAATATAGATAATTTCCAAAACTGGACAAGACTCCTTTTGAAAAGGTACAGTCTGACCGATTTGAGCTGGTATAATACTCAAACTGCTATTAGGGATGTGTAAATACGCAGCCTCTGTTGTAATTACTTTACCATCGTCAAATTTGAAATTTGAGTACCGGTATTATACCAGCTCAAATCGGTCAGTGCTGTTCATTGGGAATGTATTTCCATGCAGTCTTTGTTGTAATATCATAACTTTCGTCACCTGTGAAATTTTAGAAATGTACCTGTCAGTTCACATCGCACATTACTATTTTTTGTTACAAGCATATCTATGCAGTCTCTGTTGTAAATACCAAACCTACGTCATTTTTGAAATTTTAGAATTGTACAAGCATTGTTGTGTTCAGTTTTAATTTTATAAATTTAAAAATTGTTATAGTAAAATCAGAATAGATTGATATGATTCATTTTACATCATTTTCATACTGATGAAGGATATATCTGTTATCCAAAATATTTATAGATAATTACATTAAATGTTTCCTTTTTTAGCCCACCTGGCCCGAAGGGCCAAGTGAGCTTTTCTCATCACTTGGAGTCTGCTGTCCGTCGTCGTTAGCTTTTACAAAAATCTTCTCCTCTGAAACCACTAGGCCAAATTTAACCAAACTTGGCCACAATCACCATTAGGGTATCTAGTTTAAAAATGTGTCCGATGACCCCGCCAACCAACCAAGATTGCCGCCATGGCTAAAAATAGAACATAGGGGTAAAATGTAGATTTTGGCTTATATCTCTGAACCCAAAGCATTTAGAGTAAATCTGACATTGGGTAAAACTGATTATCAGGTCAAGATCTATCTGGCCTGAAATTTTCAGACAAATCTGACAACCCGTTGTTGGGTTGCTGCCCCTGAATTAGTAATTTTAAGGAAATTTTGCAGTTTTTGGTTATTATCTTGAATATTATTATAGATAGAGATAAACTGTAAACAGCAATAATGTTCAGCAAAGTAAGATCTACAAATAAGTCGTCATGACCAAAATTGTCAGTCGACCCCTTTAGGAGTTATTGCCCTTTATAGTCAATTTTTAACAATTTTTCGTAAATTTTTGTAATCTTTTACAAAAATCTTCTTCTCTGAAACTACTGAGACAAATTTAACCATACTTGGCCTTAATCATTATTAGGGTTTTTAGTTTTAAAAATTTGTCCGATGACCCCGCCTTCCAACCATCATGGCCGACATGGTTAAAAATAGAACATAGGGGTAAAATGCAGTTTTTGGTTTATATCTCTGAAACTAAAGCATTTAGAGCAAATCTGCGTTTTGTTAAAATATACTTATTCACTCATTTGGTCTTTTGGAAAATGTTGTTTGTGCTGTATTTAGACCCCTCTACCAAGAAATTTGTTTTGCATGCACATGTATAGAAATAGTGGTTTTTATCCAACGCAATCATAGGTTTGAACGTTGTTTTCAATTTAGACTTGTTTATAATTTTTCGTTTGGGCTTGTATTATATTTGCCTTCGAGTTTATAAATTGAGGTAAATTATATGGCCTTCCAAATACCGTTTCGATTCCTTACATCACTGAAGAGACATTAATTGTCGAAATCCGGATATGGTGTACAAATTTTTGAACTTCATGTTTGCGGTATACCATCTTTTCCGCAAGTTTAGTGTTTTCTGTTTGGCAATAAATTAATGATAAGATCTATTTTGTTACATCTTGTGATCCGTTTATTTGGCAATCGCCAATGGCAGTCAGCAGGGTTTAAGAACATCAGTTGTTCGACCTGCTAGTCAAATGCGTTTTGTTAAAATATACTTTTTCACTCATTTGGTCTTTTGGAAAATGTTGTTTGTGCTGTATTTAAACCCCTCTACCAAGAAATTTGTTTAGCATGCACACGTATAGAAATTGCGGTTTTTATCCAATGCAATCATAGGTTTGAATGTTGTTTTCAATTTAGACTTGTTTTTATATATGTATATATATATATACGTCTAAACAAGTGACATCTCTACGACAGATCCATCCATTGGATCACCAATGAAGGTGATACACGGCTGAAAACACATATTATATTCATAATTACTCTAAATATCAGCATAGAACGTCTAGGTGGCCGAGTGGTCTAGAGCGCTGGACACAGTGCAGGCGGTGTTGTCTGGATATCTCAATAGCATGAGTTCGAATCCTGGCGAGGGAAGAACATTTGCAGATTTAACGTTGTTGTGCTGATATTTAGAGTAATTATGTACATGTATATATATAAATGCATTTTGTTAAAATATACTTTGTCACTTTTTTGGTCTTTTGGAAAATGTTGTTTGTGCTGTATTTAGACCCCTTTACCAAGAAATTTGTTTTGCATGCACACGTATAAAAATTGCGGTTTTTATCCAACGCAATCATAGGTTTGAACGTTGTTTTCAATTTAGACTTGTTTATATATATATATATATATAGATTCTTACATTGGTACAAGTGGATTATCGGATTTATCCAATCTCAATAGCTGAATTATCAATTTTAAAGTCCTTGCCTGTAACAGATTTATTCAATCAAGATAGTTAAATTATCGAAATATTGAAAGTCCGAGCCTTGGCGAGACTTAACTATCGAGATTGAATAAATCTGATAATCAACGAGTGCCTTCCACATTCATCAAAGTTGTCAATTTCTCTAACACCTTTTATCACATTTGAATTCATCCAGTGAGCTGATAAAGATTATGACCCTTAAACTCAGCCAATCATCTTCTGAGATCATCGGCAACCATGCGCATGTTGATTAATTTTTTTTAAACAATGGGTTCAGAAAGGGTTCAATTGCCAAAGAATTTGAGAAATACGATGCAAATCAGTTTATTTTGTTGTTGTTATATTGTTTATTATATATATGACATTAAAAAGAAAAGAACAATAATTAAATAAAATTTAGATACAATGATTGCAATGATAACAATTATTCTTTATTAAAATAACAAAAAAGAATATGTAAATAAATTAAATGAATATCAAGTAATTTAATCTTAACCAGCAATAAAATCTAACTGGTACATTCATGTACATGTATATACAAATGTATTATAAAGTACAGTGACCCAGTTCCATAATACATAAGTTTATGTAATAGCATACCTGATTTTTTCAGGTGAGACCAAAAAGAACTCTGTCATCTTTCCCAAACAATGATCAAACTTGGTGCTGAAGGCAGATCATTGTTTGTTCTGTTTACTTTATTCATAACTTTATTTTATACTCAGGACAACTTGTACAAACACCACTAGAAGAAGTTGTTGTACAAACAAAGACACTAACAACAACAAACAACATGAAAATAAGGAGATGTGGAATGATTGCAAATTAGACATCTATAAATCCACCAGAGACCAGAGGAACATGGTACAAACAACAATAGGGCACTGCACAGCCTTCAAAAATGAGCAAAATCAAAAATTAGCTTTAAAAGGCTCTGTTGCGTGACTAAATGTGAAAAAAACTGAAAAGAGAAAAACTATGGCCTGATTTATGCAAAGAAAAAGATAAGGCAGAAACCAACCAATGACAATTACCACTGAATAACAGGCTCCTGACTTAAAAAATAGGACATGGACATAAAAAATGTGGCAGGTTTAAAAGTGTTTTTGAGTGGTCAATCCTCTCCTCCTTATCTGGAACAGTCATGGTGTAACAGCACAACATAAGAATAAACTATAATTAACAGTTAGAGCGTTTGCCATCAGATCGACAATAAGACAATATATATATTCAATGATCTTACTACCATGTTAAATTGATAAAATTTAAGAATAAGTTTTTAGTTATGTTTTAATTTATTAAAAGCAAAAAATAATGTTAGCACTGATAAAGAAGATATTTAAAGATTTTAATACTGTGTTAATTTACCTTTAAGAATAAGTTTATTTGAGGATAAAGTTAACATGAATCCTATCCAAATCTATGAGCTCCATTAACAACATCACCAAAAATATGGTTCAGATAGCCTCAGTTTGGTTGGGTTAAACCAGTATCATGTGCCCACAAACTTGAGTATTGTGTGTTGCCCTCTTTTGGTTATTTTCTTTTGTGGGGTTGATGTATCGTTGACATAATACATTATCTCCTTTTTATATACCTGTAAATATGTAAAATTGTTTATACCTAAATGAATATTTAAAAATTTACAGTAACACATTTGTAGACTTTACAGTGTTCAATTACCTTGATAAAGGTTTGAATGTTAAATGGCCTTTAAATACTACACTGAATTGCAGAGTACAGGATCAAACAAATCATAGAAATTCAAATATTGTCATTATAAATGGATCCTTTTTTTTTTGCATTTTAAGCATATTCTTTTTATATCCATTAACAGAGAAGGGATGCCTGGAATTCCTGGAAGAAAGACTGTGGTATGTTATATTTGTGGCAGAGAATTTGGATCACAGTCACTATCAATCCATGAGCCACAGTGTTTGAAAAAATGGAGGTATGAAAATGACAAGATACCCAAACTTCAACGAAGGAAAACTCCAACAAAACCTGAGATATTACCTGAAATAAATGGGAAGGGTAATAATGAAAGGTTTAATGAAGCCGCCTGGCAGAGCGCACAATCTCAGTTGCTGCCTTGTCCAAATTGTGGCAGAAAATTTAACCCAGACAGACTGCCTGTACATCAAAGAAGCTGTAAAGCAGGTAAAACATGAACACAAGATACATAACTATGTACCTCTTAATTTTTGTCCACCGCGCAACACGTTGAGGGGGACATAGAAATACCAGGCGTCTGTCCTTGCATCCTTTCCATCTTTGTAAGCGCTCTCACGTGTACAGTTCTTGCCAGATTTTTATATCTAAATTTATATCATAGGTTCATATCAGCAATGTCTTGGACGAGTTCGAAAATCAGTGCTGATCAATTATTTTGAAAAGAGTTATGCCCCTTGGAAGTATATACTATAGGGAAAATTGCATCGTTAGTGCTCTCATTTGTACAATTCTTGCCAGAATTTTATGAAACTTATATCATAGGTTTATATTAGAAATGTCTTGGACAAGTTCAAAATCAGTGCTGATCAACTATTTTTAAAAGAGTTATGCCCCTTGAAAATATTGATTATATGGAAAATTGCCTTATGAGTGCTCTAATGTGTACAATTCTTGCCAGATTTTTATGAAATTTATATTATAGGTTTATGTCATCAATGTCTCAAACAAATTCGAAAATCAGTGCCGATTGATTATTTTTGAAAGAGTTATGCCCCTTAAAAATATTGATTATATGGAAAATTGCATTGTTAGCGCTCTCATATGTACAATTATTACCAGAATTTTATGAAATTTATATCATAGGTTTATATCAGCAATGTCTTTGACATTTTCGAAAATTATTAAAGTGCTGATCAAATATTTTTAACAAGTTATGCCCTTGGAAATATTAATTATAACGAAATCGCATTGCATTTGCTCTGAAGCCTTCATTTCTCTTTAGATATTTATAAATTGTTTTTTAGTTATTGCCCTTGTACCTTGGATAGATAAACTTTGTGCAACACGGGGGACATTGGAACTCTGTTCTTTTATTAACCTACTGGCACAAAAGTTGTCATCTTTGCAGCAAAAACTGGATATAATATGTATAAATATAGCATATATATGTTAGCGGCAATAAGTGAAATTAGGCATTAAGCTTAAATTCTAGGCAATAAGCTAACGCCTAGGCAGTAAGCCTATTGCCTAAATAATGTTAGGCATTAGTCTTAAATCCTAGGATTTAGACTTAAATCCTGAAAATTATGTTCAGGCATTAATGTTAATGCCTAAACTGAAAATGAGAGTAAATAAAAAGTAATTATTCAAAGTTAAAATACATTTTGCACATAATCAAATAAGAAGAACTGAAGTTTGAGTGTCAATTACATGAAATAAAATATTGATGTAAAAATCATTGAATAAATCTCTTAAAATATATGTAAACTTGTTTGATAGTTGTCTCATTTGAAATCATACTACAGCTCCTTGTTTTTATATTGATAGAAACTATTTTATTGATTTTTCTGGGTTACCAAATGGGCATAGCTATGGCACACACTATTTTATATATTTTTTTTTTTTTTCTAACATTTGTACCTGGTGATCGTCTAATACATTTGTGTAGACAAATTGACCACTGTTAATTCGTTCTTCCTCATCCATGTAGTTAGCTTGTCATGAATATTTCCGTTTGACCACTCAGTACTACCCTGTGATTGGGGGTGTATTGGCTTCCAGTGAAGAACAACTTGTTCTGGCCACATAAGAATTAATTCAGATAACCTTAGCTGTCAATTCACGACCTTTGCCACTTTACTGTTTATGTGGCACACCAAATATTGTGAAAACATAAACTAAATTAGAAGCCACCTTTGAAGCACTTTTTGACGTAAGAGCTCTAGTATTATAAATCATTTTAAGGGGATCTTGGTATACCATCAGAAAATATAGTTTCCATTTTACTTTGATTGAAAGTCAATTAGATTAACCCGTCCTGTTCTGTAAAACTGTTTGGATAAAAATGGGTTTTACTACTACTCCCTTCTCATGTTACAATTTCAACAAAATGGAAGTAAGAGTGCAATGGAATCATGGGAAATGTTTACAAAGCCATTATTAGGTTGTTTAATTAGATAGGGTCTGTTATATTAATAGACCGCTTTGACATATTTCTATGTGATTTTTTACCCCAATATACCATACAGATTCTCTAGTTTGTGTGTGTCATATTTGTTTTTCGTAAACTGTTTTGTTATGAATTAGGCCGTTATAGTTTTCTCAATTGAATTTTTTCATATTTTTTACGTCAGGTCCTTTAAAAGCCGACCATACGATATGGGTTTTTCTCATTGTTGAAGGACGTACGGTTGCATGTAATTGCTTACATCCACTTCATTTGAACTTTGGTGGGTACTTGTCTTATGTCAGTCATACCACATCTCTTTATTTTTATATAAACTTTGAGAAATTTCCATAACAATTCTCTTTTACTTTAATTTACAGTGTTTCAAAATTCCAATGGTAAAAAATATCATACCATTTTAAATTGTAATAATCTATAGTTGCCTTATTTTCTGTTTTTGAAAGTTTAATCTTTGCAAAATGGTAATTGTACCTTTGCCTTAGATATATGATCTTTGTTTACCCTGATTCAAATTTATATTCCGTAAAGATCCAAGAAATTTGTTGTTGCTTAAATGCTAGATAAAGAAGTGAAAAGACAAGATTGATATTAATGAAAATTTACATATCCAATAAAGCAGATGGAAAGTTGATGTGACTTGCAAAATTTCATATCTTCAGTTGTGTATTTTTTTGCAGCTATAAATAGAGCCACTAAATCCAGATCATTTTGCCCCTTGGAGTGAAAAAGATCTGGATTGATTTTGGTTTTAGGATAATATTTTTTTAACCAAACATTCAATCAATAAAATGCATAGTTTGAAAATGTCCCTAAAGAAGACCATATTGATTTTGAGGACACTTTCACAGAGGTCAAGGTCGTTGCGGCAATTGTGATGTTTATTGGATCATTACCTCACCTTCACCAAATGACCATGTGAGTGTTTGCCATCACTTTGCTTCTGTTGTTGTACACTTTTAAGTTAAAAAAAAATGTCTTTTTTGTAACCACTGAACCAGTTTCAACCAAAGTTAACTGCTCTTTGGTCAGGTTGTTGTCTCTTTGACACATTCCCCGTTTCCATTCTCAATATTAAGAATATTCTAAGACCTTCTAAGGCTATTTAAAAAGTTTGTGTTTTTTTTTTGTTTTTTTTTCATCTCTGCCAACCAGCCAACATGGCTACTATGACTAAAAGTAAAACATATGGCTACAATATTTAATGAGAGTAATTGGCTATTTATTGTCTAGGAAACTGTATAAGATAAACAAAATCTGATGGGGCAGAAATACTCAGAATATGTTCCCATTTCCGTTTCTACCAAAATGACGTAATTAAGTCTTGTTTGGGAAGACTTATTGTTTTTGCTCAGTTCTTATTATGTCACCCGATCGACAATTTGTCACCCGATCGACAATGTCGGGTGACATATTGCTTTTCCTCCGTTTCTTTTTTTTATTATTTCACCCAATCGACAATGTCGGGTGACATATTGCTTTTCCTCTGTTTCTTTTTCCCTATTATTATTATGGCACCCTCAACGGAGTTGGGGTGACATATTGTTATTCTACGTTTCTTTTTTTTCTTATTTTTAGCTCACCTGGCCCGAAGGGCCAAGTGAGCTTTTCTCATCACTTGGCGTCCGTCGTCCGTCGTTGGCATCGGCGGCGTCGTCGTCCGTTGTCATTAGCTTTTTACAAAAATCTTCTCCTCTGAAACCACTGGGCCAAATTTAACCAAACTTGGCCACAATCATCATTAGGGTATTTAGTTTAAAAAATGTGTCCGATGACCCTGCCAACCAACCAAGATGGCCGCCATGGCTAAAAATAGAACATAGGGGTAAAATGTAGATTTTGGCTTATATCTCTGAAAACAAAGCATTTAGAGTAAATCTGACAAGCAAGTAAAACTGATTATCAGGTCAAGATCTATCTGCCCTGAAATTTTCAGACAAATCTGACAACCTGTTGTTGGGTTGCTGCCCCTGAATTGGTAATTTTAAGGAAATTTTGCAGTTTTTGGTTATTATCTTGAATATTATTATAGATAGAGATAAACTGTAAACAGCAATAATGTTCAGCAAAGTAAGATCTACAAATAAGTTGTCATGACCAAAATTGTCAGTCGACCCCTTTAGGAGTTATTGCCCTTAATAGTCAATTTTTAACAATTTTTCGTAAATTTTTGTAATCTTTTACAAAAATCTTCTTCTCTGAAAATACTGAGACAAATTTAACCATACTTGGCCATAATCATTATTAGGGTATCTAGTTTGAAAAATTTGTCCGATGACTTCGCCTTCCAACCATCATGGCCAACTTGGTTAAAAATAGAACATAGGGGTAAAATGCAGTTTTTGGTTTATATCTCTGAAACTAAAGCATTTAGAGCAAATCTGACAGGTGGCAAAAATGTTCATCAGATTCAGATTTATCTGCCCTGAAATTTTCAGACGAATCCGTCAACCCGTTGTTGGGTTGCTGCCCCTGAGTTAGTAATTTTACAAAAATTTTGCAGTTTTTTGTTATTATCTTAGATATCATTATAATATCTAATATCTAATACTATTAATTATGATTTTAACCTTATGTTACATGATTTCCAAAGCATCAGTAAATACAGGTGAGCGACACAGGCTCTTGAGAGCCTCTAGTTATTCTTCCACACATTTTTGTCCGCGCTAGTTCTCGGAATTGAACGGACCAATGTTGATGGAACTCAACTATAATGAGGACCCCCATATGAAGTTGTGCACCTTGCTATGGAATGGTAAAAGATGGCCGCCGTTTCCATGGAAACAGCAAAAATGCAAAAAAATCAAAGTGTTCCAAACTCAAAGAAACTTCACAGAAATGGTAACTGGCATGTGCTGATTTGCAGTTTGACTTCAGAATTTTCAAAATGGCTGACGTTGCCATGGAAGCAGCAAAAATGTCCAAAATTTCAAAATGCTCCAAACTCAATGAAACTTTACAATAATGTTAATTGGCATGTGAAGATGCCCTCTTTGACTTTAAAGTTTTCAAAATGGCTGCCGTTACCATGGCAATGGGGGAAAGAGGGTGCCATCCGTTATTGCTCGCAATTACAAATCTAGTTTTTATTATTCTTCTTCCCTCTTCCTCTTCTGCCACTTTTTTAAATGAACTTGTCAGCACCCGTTCTCCAAAACAGGTTGTCAGATTTACTTAAGGTTTCACAATATGTTAGACTAACATGCCTAGTGGTGCAATCAGGGTTTCGTTTGTGCATTGGGGTCTAAAAAGAGGTACTTTGAGGGGCCAAAAGAAGGGAGGGGTTTACTATAGAACCCTATGCGATTTTATTTTTTTTTATTTTCAAATAATTATAACTTGAAAATTGTTAGTGATAGGCACAATCTTTATAATTGAAAATGTTCTACATGATAAAGCACATCAAATGAAATAAAGGGTTAGTCCCCAGGGGTCACCCTCACCCCCTGCCATTTGTCAAAGTTCTAATATCTTGTAAGTGGTCAAGATCCCCACCCTTAAACCATATATATTCTGGTTTGTCATGATAAAGCACATCAAATGAAATGAAGGTGTAGTCCCCAGGGGTCACCCCCACCCCCTGCCATTTGAAAAAGTTCTAATATCTTGTAAATGGTCGAGATCCCCACCCCTAAACCATATATATTCTGGTTAGTCATGATACAACACATCAAATGAAATAAAGTATTAGTCCCCAGGGGTCACCCCCACCCCATACCATTTGAGAAAGTTCTAATATCTTGTAAATGGTTAAGATCCCCACCCCTAAACCATATATATTCTGGTTAGTCATGATACAGCACATTACATGAAGTAAAGTATTAGTCCCCAGGGGTCACCCTCACTCCCTGCCATTTGAGAAAGTTCTAATATATTGTAAATGGTCAAGATCCCCACCCTTAAACCATATATATTCCTGTTCGTCATGTCACAAAGATTCGAATGATATATAGGGTCAGTCCCCAGGGGTCCCCCACCCTGAATGATCTAATATCTTGTAAATGGTCGAGATCCCCACCCCTAAACCATATATATTCCTGTTCGTCATGTCAAGAAGATTTGAATGATAACCAGAGTCAGTCCCAAGGCATCACTAATGCATATAACTTTACTGGACCAAACCAATTTTCACTGGACTTGGTGATGTAAGGCGACCCTGGGAATGACGAATTATGGAAGCTTCGTTTGGGAGACTTCGTAACAGCATCCTGTTACAATCATTTCTTGTTTCTTTTAGGAGTTATTGTCCATAAATGAAGATTTTATTGTTTATTTTTGCATTTTCTCAAATATCTTGAATACAGAATACTATAACAGATAAAGAGAAACCAGCAATAGGAAAGAAGGATGTGGGTATCCATCCATGATACGAAATCAGTACATGCACAGCAAAAAACACAAAAATGCATAGGAACAGAGCATTTTTGCTGTTCTTCATCTCAGAGTCACAGTGAGGCCTTCAACACGGAGCAAAATAACTCTCCTCACTGCAAGTTTAAGACAGCCCTTAGCATCAATTTGAGTGGAATTCTTTCCAAACTGACAATCACGCCATAACTTATGTCTGAAAGTATGTTTGTCTGAACAAGAATTAAAAAAAAATATTCTTTTGACATAAACTTTTGACATTGTTGTGTAGGTGAATAAGAAACATAAGTTCTGCTTTCTATTGTAACAGACATGCAACCTAACCCTTATTCCTGGTTAGTGTTGTTGTTCTCAGTGTTCTCATGAAAATGTGCAAAGCCATATCTGCCTTAAATTCAGCTCAAAGGGGGGGGGGGGAAGGGGGGACTTGTTTGCAAGTTCGCTAAAAAAAAATCTTGTTACTATAGGAATATGATGTAGTAATTTATCATGAAGCAACACTCTTTGATTCTGTTTTCTACAGTGTAAAAATTATGACAAGTAGAATTTGAAATATTCATACGAAAATTTAGAAAATTGAAGAAAAAATGGGCTTTATAGGTTGCAATTCTGTAAATATAGACAATGCAATTTCCCATAGGAACTCCCCTTGCAGCTAAAACTGTGACACTTTTACTATGAAGTTTCGTGAAAAATAATATCCCAGAACTGAAAGTTTATATGCACTACTATTTTATTCAAAGGTCAAAATATAGGGCTGTGCGGCATATTTTCAACATTTATATGCCCTGAACTTCTATGAGTTTAAACTTATACTAAAATGCTATACAACCCTTACCTTCATATTTGGACCTCCTAAGAATTAAAATTTAGGCGCTACCATGTTTTTCTGTACTGGTTACATTCCCAAGTGATGTCTCTATGAGATGAAACACAGAGATCATAAATGGGAACCAGTACATTATCAAATTAACATATCTATGAATATTATATATCTCCCCAAAAGAGGCGTGGTTTGAGAAACAGCTGTATTTACAAAGTGCAACCTATAGAAACTGTCTATTATATTAACATTTACTTTTCAGATAAAAAGAAAAATCAGAACTCTGGAAGGGAGGAACTTCGCCCTAAAACAGCAGTTTTAAATGCTCCAAAATTTATTGATAAAAATAATACAGTTGACTTAGAAAAACAAAGTACAAGGAGAGAAGTCGACATGAAAAGGAATTCAATCTCAAGAAACACAGGTGGTTCAGGTTCAAGACCCTCACCAAATTTATCTGCACCTGGAATTGAAAGAGAGGGTACATATACATCACCAAATAAAACTTTGCCAAAAGCAAAGGTACCACCTGGCCCAAATTTTGTCTTATGCTATATTTGTGGAAGAAAGTTTGGCACAGCTTCTATTTCATTTCATGAGCCGCAATGTTTAGAAAAATGGAAAAAAGAAAATGAATTATTACCAAAAGCCCAGAGAAGAAAGTTACCAGTAAAACCAGAGGTTGTTTCTAGCAATGGAAGTTACGATTTGGATGCTATGAATGTAGCTGCATGGCAGAGTGCACAGTCTCAGTTGATACCATGTGACCGTTGTGGTAGGACATTTGCTTCAGATAGACTGTCTGTACATCAACGATCATGTAAAGCCACAGGTGGTGTAAAGAAAGGCCCTGGTGGTTCTTCAACAATCACTTCTAGCCAGAATCCTCAAAGTAGGGAAAGTAATAAAGAATTAAGCACAAAAAAGAATGTGGCCCCTGAGAAGCCAACTTTTGTTTTATGTTACATTTGTGGACAAAAGTATGGTTCAAAATCTTTATCAATTCATGAACCTCAATGTTTAGAAAAATGGAAAATAGAAAATGAAAAATTGCCCAAAGGTCAAAGACGCACTTTACCTAAAAAGCCAGAGGTATTGCAGTCTGGTGGAAAGTTAGATGTGAATGCATTAAATGAAGCAGCATGGACAAGTAGTCAAGCTCAACTCTTGGCATGTGAAAACTGCGGTCGGACATTTGCTCCTGACCGTCTTCCTGTTCATCAGAAGTCTTGCAAGCCAAAAATAGGTCAAGCTGCAAGCACAGATAATAACGCCCCTAGAAATAATTTGAATAACACACCAACCGAATCAAAGACAGTAACAGCGATGCAGGGACCTAAAACAGTAGTTTGCTATATATGTGGAAGGGAATTTGGAACAAAATCCCTTCCTATTCATGAGCCACAGTGCTTAGAAAAATGGAAAATAGAAAATAATAGATTGCCAAAGGAAAGAAGACGGCCATTGCCAAAAAAACCAGACTTTGGAAAAACAGTTACAAGGTAAGCAATTGAGCTGAAAGTTTAATTGAAAATGGAGGTTTCATATATGATAATCATGTAAAATACAACTCATTCAAGATCTGTGAATATCAAAAGTATACCAGGGTCAAATCGACACATCTTAAATAAGTATCCTCTTGAAGTTTTAATTTTCAGTTTGTATTTGTCAATATTAAAGGAGATATGGTATGATTGCCAATGAGACAACTATCCACCAGAGACCAAATGAAGTAAATGTAAGCAACTATTGGTCACTGTACAGCCTTCAACAATGAGCAAGACAAATACCTCTTAGGTAGCTTTAAAAGGCTCTAGACATATGACAAAATGTGAGACAATTCAAAAGAGAAAAACAAAGTCCTGATTCAAAAACTGAACAAAAAACAAAAGCAAATATGATATGCAGTGACAAACTGCAAACACTGAATTACTGGCTTCTGACTTTGAACATTCAGAATATGTTGAGGTCAAACATGTTTTTTGGATGCCCAACCCTTTCCCTTAACTGGGACAGTGGTGTAACAGCACATTATAAAGGATGTCATTATTTGAGTTCTCCTGGCATCGTTGTAACAAGTCAGTGTGCAAGGTTAAGTTTGCTGCTAGTTCTCAGAAACTAATAAACAGACACCATATATGCATATTATTTGCTGTTCAAATGTATCTTGTAGAGATTACTGTATGCAAATTTGTGTCAAAAGTTTGAAATCACATCTAACAATTTACAGTGTTAAACAAATATATTAATGATGTATAAAATCAACATCAACATATCATATTTTATTGAGGACCTCAATTGAGGAAATATTGTCTTTTTATTGCTGCTTTGACCTTTAACCTTTCCCATATTTTAGTCTCTTCATAGATGCACTTTGGCGTTGTCCTTTGACTTTACCAAAAAACAATTAGGAGTCTTGTTCTATCCAATGGTAATTTTCATGCTAGGTTTTTGGAGCAGGTAGAAAAACAGTCATTCAGAAAGCAAGTTATGCCCTTAATTCAGTCTATTAATTGCTCCCTCAAAGTGACATCAAAATCAATAAGTATAAAAATATAAAGATGTTGTATGATTGACAATGAGACATCTCTCCACAAGAGACCAAATGACACAGAAATTAACAACTATAAGTCACCGTACGGCCTTCAACAATGAGCAAAGCCCATACTGCATAGTCAGCTATAAAAGGCCTCAAAATGACAAATGTAAAACAATTCAACTGAGAAAACTAATGGCCTGATTTATGAACAAAATAATGAACGAAAAACAAGGTCTTCTTAAGTGAAATTATCATACTTTGAAAAATTGTAATGATTGAATGTTTGGTTCAAAAGAGATTAATCTAAAACCAAAAACAATAATGGTCACTTTCACCACAAGGAACAAAATAATCTAATTTATGGCTCATACAATATTGTCTGTAAAACAACCTTTGACCTACTGACCTTATAATCATTTGGGTTCCTGGGCTTCCAAATGATGATTTCAAGCTGCTTGGAAAGGTTTGACATATATGGTTCAAAAGATATCATCTGGCAGCTAAAAACTTACTCCATTTTCAAATTATAAATTGCAGCTTTCACCTTTACCTTTTTGTCATCAGTGGTAGTTATATTATAATACTTGTTTATAAATTAAACCTGTATCTATAGATGGAAGATAAAGAAAAAAAGAATGAATCCCATTGATTTTCAGTACTATCACAGTGATTTTGCTAGCGCTCGTCATTTTCGTCATTTACGAAAAGGTTTTCAAAATGACGAAAGTTTTTCAAATCAATTTAGTATATGGTGAATGGAAGGAATCCAAAGGATTGCGGTGTGTACATGTCCATCTGCTAGGGTTCATCTTACCTGCACCTCATTTTCATGGTTTCTGGCACTGGTAAATGTTAAGTTTTGTGGTTATGTCTTTTTCTGATACCAAGGTTTGGGCTGAACTAGGCCCCATTTTCAAGGTTCATTGGTCAACGTTCAGGATTTTTTTAGCTTACTTGGCCCACAGGCTATGTGAGGTTTTCTTATAATGACGGCCATTGGCCGTCTTCGTCCTACATTGTACGTCAACTTTTACAAAAATCTTCAACTCTGAAACTGCTGGCCCAAATTTTACCAAACTTTGCCACAATCAAGACATGTTCAATGACCCTACCTACCAACAAACATAACAGACATGGCTTAAAATAGAACATCAAGGTAGAATGCAAGTTTTGTCTTTTATCTTGTGAAAACTGCTATATGTATAGATAGAGAAAATCAAATAGGGGCTATGTTGAAATCTTCATACTGCCTAGAAGTTATATTGCCCTTAATTAGGTAGATGGGGGATCTAGATTTAAATCTATAGAATATTTTAATAATTTGTCAAAATGTCATGCTTCTTTCAAAAATATAATAAAAGTATGGGTCCCCTGGCTTTTTTTCACGCTAATAGCGTTGTGCAAAATTGTCAGATTTTGTATATATATTATGCATGGAAAACCTAATTTTGTGTGATAAAAATAATACTACACCATAGAATTTTAAGATAAAATATGAAAAGATATAGTTCTAATAATATGCTTTCAGATAAGAAAAAGAAAAAATGCAGTCACCGAACTCATTTTCTTACTACATATATATATTCTTATATGAGGTTCTTCTTTCCCTTTGGAAACAAAGCCATGTTCTAATTCCAATAAAACATGGGCTGCACGTGATTGACGTGACAATTGAAATTGCAACGTCAGCTGTGTTTTGAACAACGTCGAAAACCAAGATGGACATTTTTTTTGTAGTTTCTTGTTAGAAAATTAAATAAAATCATTCTAAAAGTAAGTTTACATGTATCTGTTCATTTGTTTATCGTGAAACGGTTGATTTTCTAAAATGTGTTGGCAGCGAGTTCATCAAATTAAAATGGATGCATTTTGAACGCATATTATAGGTCTCCTTCGAAGTACAAAAGTTCTAAATTTTCCCATTAGAATCAAAATAATTCTATCATGCCATGCTCTATGCTCATTTAACATGGGTAGGCATTATATTTGTTAACGTTTTACACCTCGTTAACACTCTGTATAAAGATATTGACAATTATAATGCCTACCCATGTTAAAATGAGCATAGAGCATGGCATGAAAGAATTATTTCTTAAATCAAATAGGAAAATTCACAACACATTCTAATATAAAAGTTACATTATCTGAATTATCTCCCCTTATGTGGCAAAGTTAAAAAAAAATGAATCAAACAAAATGTTTTTTGTAAAATACAGCCGTAAAATAAGATAGAACACATAATTTTCTATGTTAACATGAAATGTCTTGCACATGAATTACATACTACCTTAAAGATCTAGAACGATTGTTATCTGCTATTTCAAAATCCAAGATGAAGGAAGACACCCCTTAAATGACGCGTTTTACCCATTTTTAGCTCACCTTGCCCGAAGGGCCAAGTGAGCTTTTCTCATCACTTGTCGTCCGTCGTCGTCTTCGTGGTCGTCCGTCGTTGTTAGCTTTTTACCAAAATCTTCTCCTCTGAAACCACTGGGCCAAATTTAACCAAACTTGGCCACAATCATCATTAGGGTATCTAGTTTAAAAAAATGTGTCTGATGACCCCGCCAACCAACCAAGATGGCCACCAAGGCTAAAAATAGAACATAGGGGTAAAATGTAGATTTTGGCTTATATCTCTGAAAACAAAGCATTTAGAGTAAATCTGATGGGGTAAAACTGATTATCAGGTCAAGATCTATCTGTCCTGAAATTTTCAGACAAATCTGACAACCTGTTGTTGGGTTGCTGCTCCTGAATTGGTAATTTTAAGGAAATTTTGCAGTTTTTGGTTATTATCTTGAATATTATTATAGATAGAGATAAACTGTAAACAGCAATAATGTTCAGCAAAGTAAGATCTACAAATAAGTTGTATGACCAAAATTGTCAGTCGACCCCTTTAGGAGTTATTGGCCTTAATAGTCAATTTTTCGTAAATTTTTGTAATCTTTTACAAAAATCTTCTTCTCTGAAACTACTGAGACAAATTTAACCATACTTGGCCATAATCATTATTAGGGTATCTAGTTTGAATAATTTGTCCGATGACTTCGCCTTCTAACCATCATGGCCAACTTGGTTAAAAATAGAACATAGGGGTAAAATGCAGTTTTTGGTTTATATCTCTGAAACTAAAGCATTTAGAGCAAATCTGACAGGTGGCAAAAATGTTCATCAGATTTAGATTTATCTGCCCTGAAATTTTCAAACGAATCCGACAACCCGTTGTTGGGTTGCTGCCCCTGAGTTAGTAATTTTACAAAAATTTTGCAGTTTTTTGTTATTATCTTAGATATCATTATAATATCTAATATCTAATACTATTAATTATGATTTTAACCTTATTTTACATGATTTCCAAAGCATCAGTAAATACAGGTGAGCGACACAGGCTCTTGAGAGCCTCTAGTTATTCATTTTTATGCCCCATCTACGATAGTAGAAGGGCATTATGTTTTTCGGTCTGTATTCGTTCGTTCATTCGTCCGTCTGTCCCGCTTCAGGTTAAAGTTTTTGGTCAAGGTAGTTTTTGATGAAGTTGAAGTCCAATCAACTTGAAACTTAGTACACATGTTCCCTATGATATGATCTTTCTAATTTTAATGCCAAATTAGAGTTTTGACCCCAATTTCACAGTCCACTGAACATAGTAAAAGTTGTGCAAGTGGGGCATCCATGTACTATGGACACATTCTTGTTGCCTATTATCTTGAAAACTATATAATAGATTGAGAGAAACTTCAAGTATGATCACCAAGACAAAATCTACAAATAAGTCAACATGGCTAAAATCATCAGTCGACTCCCTATTGGAGTTATTTCTCTTAAAGAAGATTTTTATCAAATTTTTGTGATTTTGCATTTTACAACATATATGTAGAAGTTCAAGCAAAGCCCTTCAACAATAAGTTTAACCCATACCGCATACTTGTGATGATAGTAAGCTATTAAAGACCCGGAAATTCATTGACGAATGTAAAACTATTCAAACTAGAAAACTAAAGGCCTAATTTATATACAAAACAATAAACGAAAAACAAATATGATATACACTTACAAACGACAATCACTGAATTATAGGCCCCTGAAATGTGACATACAAATACAGAATTTGGCAGGATAAGTTTACTGGCTCCAAAAATTCACCCTAACCTGGGACATTGGTTTAACAGTACAACATAATTACAAACAATAAATATCAGTTGAAAAGGTCTTAACTTATCAGATCTATACAAAGCACAAAAAACCCTAACAAAAACACAAAAGACACAAAGTACAGATCTGAGAGTACTAGCAGTTACTGAAAGCTAGTTCAAAGCCAATAACAAGTAATAAAACAATCATGTATCTAAGACTAAAATATCAATCAGTGCACATCCATAATCCAATAGATTAAGTTGAAAGACGTCATTCACAGTCAGAGAAAAACATAACCATGTGCAATGTCAAAATATAGATATCGACAGATTGTAGGACCATGAATATACATATATATGTGTCTAATAATAATATTTAGTTTATTTTCAATTTATTGATAACAAAATCAATATTTATACAAATAAAAATAATATTCAATGATCTAATACAGTGTTGAATTGGTAACATTTTAGAGTAAGTTTATTTTAAAGGATCTATAAGTTTACCCGGATCCGGGTATCGTATCTAAATTTACGAGCTAGGTAAACAACATCACCTTAAAAATAAGGATGTACTATCCTGTTTATAATAAGTTTTCTACAGGTACAGTCTGAAAAAAGAAAATTATCAATAGGGAATGAAAAATTGTTCCTTTAATGTTATAAATTTTTGTGTAGTTTCCTGTGTACATGTCAAACTAAAATATCTAAATCCAGAAAAATATTGTTCTTGCTGTTTATATTTGATTTATTTAAAATAAGTTCCTTTGGGTACCATATTTTTATGTCCACATTAAACCCATTTGTCAGATGCTATGAGCACTAAAAGCAGGTCAACTATATTTAGTCTTTTAAATGATTGGTACTTGTAGATGACTGTTTGGAAGAGTTAATTTTCATGATTCATTGGTCAACTTTGTACATAAATCAGGCCGTTAGTTTTCTCGTTTGAATTATTTAACATTTGTCATTTCGGAGCCTTTTATAGCTCACTATGCAGTATGAGTTTTGATCATTGTTGAAGCCTGTACAATGACCTATAGTTGATAAATTTAATGTCATTTAGTCTCTGGTTGAGAGTTGATGAAAAGATGTATGGAATAAACGGAACTTGATTGAACAGTTAGGTGTACAGTACATTTCTGTCTGGTAGGGTTCATCTGACCTTGACCTCATATGTATGGATCATTGATAATGTAAGATAAATGTGATAGCTGTAGTAAAAACTGATCAAAGATAAAACCTTTTTCATAAAGACTTTCATAATACCAAACAATCTTGATCACCAAAGCAGGCTAATCATTTCAGTGTATACACTCTTAACTGTTTTACTAGTGTTTTTGCAAATTATTTAAAAAAATATTATAGATACACAGAACTGTAACAACACAAGGGATTATCAAGGCATGACATTTACAAATTAGTAACATGACTAAAACTATATATTGAATGCATATATTGTCCTTTAATGATGCTTTCTTCAAAATTATTTTTCTTTTTATTGAATTGACATCACAGCAAATTGATATCATTTCAGTATGTATCAGATATAGTGATGACTGCAATCACTGCATATTTAAACGCCATAATTTCAATTTGGAGAAAAAGATGGTGGGAATCCAAGCTCGGCTTTGAAGATTTTGATCCTGATCCTTAAATATTTTATGTGATTTTGGCACAGAGGAAGAAAAAAATTAAAGGCCTCTGCAATTCCACTTGAATTCACTTTAAAAGCTATATTTATACCTATGTTGTCAACAGCGAAAACAGGTCTAGTAACTGCTGGACACAACCCTCTGTTGGTTTATCTATTAATCCTTACAACCTTGGGTAGAAAATTTCGTCAAACTTTTCTTGGATTCTATGGAAAAATTTTGTATTTGATCTCCCGCTTAATAATGAGTTTTAGCCTGTAAGCAATTCTTGCATATAGCATGCAGTGACTTCCTGTTTGCCAATAGTTTGAAATTTTACAACACTCATTGTATAAGGAAAAGTATTGTCAAATTTTTCTTGGCTTCTGGAGGTGAATGATTTTATATTTGGTCTGCAGCTTAGCAATGATGAGTTGCAGTGTGAAAGCAATTTTTACATCTGCAGTGTAGCATCTTCCTTTTTAACGATAGTCTAAAGTTGGCTTCAATGAAAGGGAATGATCAGTTATGCTTCAGTACACACCGACCTCAATCAATTGCATGCAGTGAAACAGGTCCAGATCCAGTATTGGTCTTGTTAACTATATATATTTTTTATACGACCGCAAAAATTAAAAATTTTTTGGTCGTATATTGGTATCACGTTGTCGTCATCGTCGTTGTCAGCGTCGTTTGAAGACAGATGGTTTCCGGATAATAACTTTAGTATAAGTAAATAGAAATCAATAAAATTTTAACACAAGGTTTATAACCACAAAAGGAAGGTTGGGATTGATTTTAGGGGTTATGGTCCCAAAGGTTTAGGAATTAGGGGCCAAAAAAGGGGCCCAAATAAGCATTTTTGCAGTTTCCAGACAATAACTTGTGTTTAAGTGTATGAATCTCTCTGAAATTATACCACAAGTTTCCATACAACAAAGGGATGGTTATGGGGGGTTATGGCTCAAACCATTTAGCAATTAGGGGCAAAAAAGGGGGAAAAACAAGGGTTTTTATGGTTAAAGGACAATTTAGACAATTTAAAAGCAGTGTAAGGGAGGTAATCCAATCCATTTAAAGAATACTGTTGTTAATATGTTTGATTGGGCAATTCGCAACAGCATAGTCATGATAGTGTATTGCACAAAAGCAAAAAATTGAATATAAATTCAAATCATACAACCAATTCTAAGTTCTTTGACTACACTTATTCTGTGTCAGAAACCTATTATGTGTCAAATATTTAATTACAATCCAAATTCAGACCTGTATCAAACGCGAATAATGTGTCCATTTTGGCCACAACTTTTCAGGGTTGGACATCTGCGGTCGTATCCAGCTGCGCTCAGTGAAGCAATTTATTTAAATTGACAATTAAAATGAAAATAAATAATAGATCAAAATGGCATATGAGTGATTCAGGTTCTTAGGTAAATTTTTTTTTTTTTTTGCCAATATCACAATGGTGTTGTCTATTGTTCTTTGGCTATTATTTTTTTAAATGCCACCTTGGTACAAATGTATCTCACTGTCCTTTTTTCTCCTATGTTTGTTCAATTTATTTCATTGATTCAGATTTAAAAGGAGGATGAAGTACATTAAGCTAAAGGAGCCTGTGTCTCATACCTGGAATTTGTGCATAAAATTTATACATTGCAGCTCAAATATTTGTGTTCAATGGAAACTGTGGGCAAAAATCTTGTCATTTGATTATTTTTACTTGACAGTTTTGGTCTTTCCATTATATAGATTTCAAGGTACGGTGTACTATATATATATAGTTATAGGCAAAAAGTAATAAATTGGTTAAAATTGTTATTTTGGCAAAAACTCCTCTAAGGAGTCAGTTGACAATTTCAATCATATTATTTCTAGTTTGATTTTCCAATAAGAATTTAAAAGCCATTATCACAATGTATCAACAATTTAACAATGGCTTGATAGGAAATTATTTTTGTTAGAAAATTTATGTATCAGTGATCTATTTAGGTTTCATAATTGGCATGTATCTTATTTTTCCACCAAATCAATGAAAATTGCAAATTTCAATTTTTTCTAGACAAGAAACATAAAGCATTGACAAAAAAGATATTTTCACTTTATGTTTGTTATAACAAAATGAACTGTACATGTCTGACTTTAATATTTAGACCCTACAATCTTTGTTTCCTTAGCTGGGGCGGATCCAGGATTTTAGGTTAGGGGGGCGCAAACTTAAATTTTCGCAGAGCGGAGCGAGGCGAAAATTTTTTTTGAGGTAAAATTATTGAAATATTCTTTATAAAGCTGAGGACAACCCATGCTTTACAAATTTATGGGGGGGGGGGGGTCGCACACCGGCCACGCCCCCACCTGAATCCGCCCCTGCTTAGAGGCTTATTGTGGTGGAAATCCAGAAGATTTTGTCAACTTTCACAAAAATATCTTTTTTAATCTAATTGGTAAAGCTTTGAAAGAAAAACTTTCCTACATATATACATTGACTTGAAACTTTTCATCTTGTAATACTGCCCTTACAATTTGGGACCCAAAAGGGCCCATACTAAACCTAGTGCTTTCCTTCTATTTGCTATATATATAGTTTCATGAAAAACACAAAAATGGATAAAAATCATCACTAAACAGTATTGACTTTATAATGGATCAACTGGTGATTTTGATTATGTTGAATGAATTGAAGATTTAATGTTCAGCTGATCATTTTTGCCGTTTTAAGTTTCTGTCTATCTGCAGGTTTTATAGATTTCAAGATATTAGCAGAAAACGCAACAATTGGGAATAAATCATCATTGAAGGGCAGTACCCCCTTTTTTAATATGCTTCTTTCGCCTTGTAAACAACAGCATGATAAAATTTTCGATATAATTATACCAAGTGCAGACTCAGAAATGTACATATTAATTGCTATTACAATTAACCTCCCACATAAATCCACATGCATTAACATATGTGAAAACAATATGTCAATTTTGCTGTCTTAAAATTGAAATTAAAAATAACTGGAGAACCTTTGTTCTTATATAATGCATAACAAAAAGTGCTTGTAAAAATGTACAAAAGTAAAATAAAATAAAATTCTGTGAAATTCCATGAATGCTCTTGGCACATTTAAATGTCATTTCAAAACATGACATACGAATGAAAACTCTTTAGCTGAAAGTTATTCTGTTACGTGTTCCCCCCCAAATTTAGATATAATTGCATTAAAATGGAATTTTGAGGTAGGTGTTGTTTCATGTCAATTCTATTGCATTATTTGCATGTTTATGTATTACAGCAAGTCAACATGGCGGCTCACTCCATAGTTACAACATGGCGACTGTGAATTTGACAAAAAAAATTTGGGTTGAGAACTATAAGGATTAAACACATTTTATCTAGAAGTTATTTCAGAAATAATTCATATAAACCATAGATTTATTGGAAATATTTTGCTTTATCTTTCAGAGAGTAAAATAGAACAGCCACACACACAGCACACTTATCTTTGCTCCAGTATTTTTAATTACTGTATTTGTACAATAAGAATCGAAATAATTCATGAAAGCCATAGGTTTGTTATCATTTGCCAATGCTCAGGATAAAATTCCTATATAACTGCCCAGGCCATGTGAAAATTTCAGGGTTGGCAAAGTATTACCCGGGTTGGAAAACCCAGGTCCGGGTTTTCCCGGCTGGGCAATACCCCCAGAAACGGGTAATACTGGGCAATACTGGGCAATATGATTTTTTAAGCTTATTTTTACACAGAATAGTAAAGACTTGTTGTAGTTTCATAGTATTATGTAGCTAAATATATACATTTTATACAGATAACCATTGAGAGTCATTTCAAGAAGATTGAAATTCTATTTCTTCCTTTTCTCCACTAGTTCTATGTAGGCAGAATACAAATTTTGCACACTTTAGGCAATTTCCAAGCTTTGTTTCAAAAATCCAAACTTTGAACAAATGCATATTATTGCAGTGATTAATAAGTGAATTGTAAATTTTAATTGTTATACAATCATATTGCTAAATTAACATCCCAATGGGACATTTCATGAACACATAGAGAAATGAAAAGAAAATGATTATTGTTTTATAAACAAATCTGTGTTATAATCTGAATAATTACTTATAACCTGTAATTAGTGGTGTACGTCAAGGATTTGTATAGTGAGACTATACAAATCCTTGAAGTTAGTTAATATTTTTAGCAATGAACCAAAATTGTTTGAAAATAATTTTCCTTACATATAATTATTAATTTTTAATATTAGTTATGTATATTTAAAAAACAAAAAAATTGTTCTTGGACTTTATGTTAACAGCTTGACCAATCTAGACTTAATAAAGATTATATAGATTTTTAGGAGGATTATTGAGAAATAGCTTTTCTCATGTGTCTTCATGTACACTTGTCTTAGAGTTGCTGGAACAATACTTCCTCATATTTAAACACTTTATAAAAAAAGTCTCAAACAAGTGAACTTATAAATTAAAATACTATGTTTTATTTTTATAAATATCTTTAATGTATTGCATTTGTGATAAATCGCTGAATCTTCTTTAAAACTCAAGCCAGTATTTCATATTACCCAGTATTGCCCAGTATTACCCAGTAAAACCCAGTAAAACCCAGGTTTTCCCAGTATTTCCCACTGGGCTGGGCAATACTCATAAAACCTTGTTTTTGCCAACCCTGGAAAATTTCCAACAAATCTATCGCTTACATGAACTATTTCTAATTAATGGTAAACTTATAATTTCAGGAATTTGCCTTATTTGTAGATCTTGTCTTGCTGATCATTTAAAGTTTCTCTTGAACTATTATAGTTTTCAAGATTATAGCGCTAGTTAGCTAAAATGGCAAAAATTTATCAGAATTGTCTTTAAATGGCCATTCATTCTATAAGAAGTTAACAGATGTTTTTGGTCATCTGACTTATTCCTAGGTCATATATATTTTGTTGTTCACTGCCAGTACAAACAGGTAAAAATTGTCATTTAAGGGCTTCTATAAGAATTCTTCTGACAATTGAGGTTCAAAAAGATGGTACCAGTAGGTAGATTTTGACATTCTGAACATTATTGCCCTTTCAGATTTTTCCTATTTATAATATATAATGGTTTGCAAGTCATTAGCAGTTACTTGATTATACCACTTTGTTCTTTTATTTTAGCAATTTGGCTTCTTTGGTTGGTAGACAGAATCATTTTATAAAATTTATAAACAAGATACTCTGAGGATGATTGTTGCCAAAGTTTTGTTCCAATTGTCTCAGTAGTTTCTGAGGAGAAGATTTTTGTAAAAATTAATGAAAGAAGGACAATAGAGGATGGCAATAGCTCACCCTTACCCTTTGTCAGAAAGTCCTGTTTTGATAAAGTTACTTTAAATTCAGAAATTATTTCCTTCACAACATGTTTGCAATCACATTAATTAGATCTAGTAATTTTACCAGTAATTCATTATTCGCAACAATAAATCAATGCACACAATAATTTCTGAATTTACAGTAATGTGATGTTAAATTGCATAATTTTCTGCTGAACTTTAGCTATAGTTAAGTCAGACAAATTTTGAGAAGTTTAATGGAAAGGTTTGTGTGATGTGCTTTACCACCATGATGCTGTCAGATAGGGATTTTCAGTGTCATCACAGACTGTAAAATTAGAACTGTTTATGGAATTGGACATGTTTATGAATCTGACATATATATAAATAGAAAGGGTGAAGGGATAAAATGTTCTGTATACGGCTCTATCCTTTCAGTATTTTTCAGAGAACAGATGAATGAGCTAGCATCAGAAAATGCAAAATCCCAGTTGATACCATGTCCAAACTGCAGTCGTACCTTTGCTCCTGATCGTTTGGATATTCACCTGAAGGCCTGCAAAAGTAAGACAGGTAAAGGAGGTGGAAAAACAACAGAGTTAAAAAGAAGTGATCCTTCACATTCCACTAAAGTAAGTAATCTTTTTCCATAATAAATGAAAGGTGATGTGGGTATAAATCAATGAAACATTAAAACCCACAACACAAAAAATAACAAAAAATAAGACTATAATCAGCGTGCCATATAGCGGGTTATTTTTGCTAAAAAATTTCCAAAAATACCAGGTAACTGATACAAGTTCCCTAGAGCCTCTTGTTTATAAGGATGATTGTGATAGAATGTGAATTTATGATGTTATCAACCTAATTTAAGATCTTTCCAACCATCTGGTAGTTTTTGTCTCGCTTGCGACGAAAGTCGCACAATGCTAGTCATAGCTATTACAATCTGCCAGCGATTTCATTAACTATTTGTATAAAGCTTATATATATTTCAGAAGGAAGAAGACCTGGATGCTTCATACCTAATGTATGCAGATACCTTATGTTACTAAATTTCTTATGTTACGAAATTTCCGCCTGTCATATGTCCATTGTCCACCTCATTTTCATGGTTCAGTGACTGCTTGAAAACAAATTATTGTTTTTTGGAATGGTGAAATACTCTCTTGTTATCAATAATAGGATAACTATATTTGGTATATGGGTTCTTTTCAAGGTCTACATGTCCGTCAGGTAAGGTCCACCTAACCTTGACCTCATTTCATGGATTGATCAGTGATCAAGGTTACAGTTACCTGGTCAAGTCTGTATCTCAGATACTATTAGCAGTAAGTCAACTATATTTGGTGCATGGGATGATTGTAAAGTGAACATGTCTGACTGGCAGGTTTCATCTGACCTTGACTTCATTTTCATGGTTCATTGGACAATGTTTAGTTTTTGTGGTTTGGTCTATTTCTCAGCAATAGGTCAAGTATATGATGTACTCATAATGCTAGAAATATCTGTCATGTGAGAAATGTTGATAATGTTGAGATATCTATCTACTTACTGTCCCTTAAAAAAAAATATTAGACGACTTTTTATACGACTGCAAAATTTTTGCAGTTGTATATTGGTATCACGTCGTCGTCAGCGTCGTCTGAAGACATTTGGTTTCCAGACAATAACTTTAGTATAAGTAAATATAAATATATGAAATTTAAACACGTTTTGAAACCACAAAAGGAAGGTTGGGTTTGATTTTGGGGGTTATGGTCCCTACGGTTTATGAATTAGGGGTCGAAAAGGGGCCAAAATAAGCATTTTTCTAGTTTCCAGACAATAACTTGTGGAACAGTGTATGGAATTGTCTGAAATTGTACCACAAGTTTCCATACCACAAAGGGATGGTTAGGATTGGCTTTGGGGGGTTATGGCTCAATCTGTTTAGGAATTAGGGGCAAAAAAGGGGGGAAAACAAGGGTTTCCTGGCTAATGGACAATTACTTTAGCTTTGTTTCTTTATGTTGGTACTTTTTGCTATTTGTTTGCTAGTTCTAGTATGAAATATTTTTTAGCAGTTTCTAGAAACATCAAATACTGTGATTTAAAGACCAAACAGCCTATTGTTGATGCGCATCAACTAACGCAACTTGGTAGTGACATAAAAGCTCTATGACGTTGTTTCTAGCCATGAAAAAAAACGTCAAATAATAACGTCCTATTTCGCGTTTTTCACGGATTCCAACATGGTGTACGCTTAAAACTACGTCTTCCAAGAAAAGTGGAATTAAGCGTCGCACTGATACCTAGTGGAAATTAAACACAAATGGACACAAAAGATACTACACTATCTGTAACCTCCGTTCAAAAAAAAATAATAGTAATAATATAAATTTTGAACTCGGCTTTTTGCATTTGCGCCGATCTGCATTTCACTTTTTTTCTTTCACTTACGCCGATTTTGTCTTTCATTTGCGCCGATTGTGTACAGGTATATTATAGGTGAAAGTTATTTTTTTATTTATCATATAAACCTCTTCCGTTAGCCAGTTGTACATATGTTATGAATTGTCAACTATGACATGTATATAACTGTTGTCCCCTGCTCATAAAGGGGAGGTGGGAGTAGAAGTTCGAGCAGGATAAGTCAATTTAAAAGATATTTGTGCACTCTGTTTACATCCACTAAAATCACGGAGTAAAATTCTATTTACAGCATTTCAAAGCACCACAATAAAATCCATAAAAATGTAATACTAGTACAATGAATTATTATCTTGCCGAGAATTTATATGCTACACATCTGATATATAATTCTTTCTTGTCATTTTATCTTTTCTATACTTGTTGTACTTGCCAATAACGAAATCCATCTTTTCTTTCTCGTGTCAAAACGAAGTTCTCGAACAGTATGACCAAAATTATCTTAAACATAAGGGAACACTATTTATATCCATATATTACCATGCAATATACATTCTAGGTTTACTACATGTACATGTATTTACTCGTATAGCAAATAAAGTATCGGGGCTAGTGATAAAAAAAATAAAATAGGCGCTAATGAAAGAATCAAATCGGCGCAAATTAAAGATCGAAATTTTTTTTAAATCGGCGCAAATCTCGTACGCCCGTGTAACTTTACACTGGTAGATTTATATGACTTACGCTTAGAATTTTAACTTAATATGTGATTTTCAAAACTGAGTTTTCAGAAGGTTAGGCCGATAAACAATACTTTCTAGAAGTTTCGATATACTGGCAACGTATGCATGATGAGATTAACTTATGTCTTTAAGATTCTCGTAAATTAATGGTGATCTTGCAATGAAGTTAAATTTTATCTATACTGCTTAATTGACAAAATCTTATAGTAAAAATAAAAATGATAAAGGTACATTGTATTTCGTCTTTTGTTTCATTTCAAATTGTCTCAAGGAGAAATGATAAAAATATAAGAAATTAATATACTGAGTGAATGTGAATTAAAATAAAAATTTACGGTTTTTAAAACTAAAGTTGTTGTAAATTTAACTTATGCCAAAAACAATTGCTTCAAGAATAAGATCCAACATAAAATTTCTCACTTTCAAAAAGCTACAATGACCGGAAGATTGAAAATAAATTTCGATTTTCAATGCCGGCAATCCGGCTATACATACAACCTTGTCTTTGTTTTAATTTCCAAAGTGAGCTATTTAGATTCATAATATGTCATCCTGTTTTGAGAAATACTTTATAGTTTTCAACGGAAAATTATTTCTTAGATTCTAAATCAATTTTTGAATTAAAAACTTATTTGTATTTTATATTTACTGTCTCTTTTATTCAAAACACGTGATGTAGTAATAACGGGGATCGTATTTTATGATAGGTTAAATGGATGTAAAACGTTTTAGAATCAAAAACTTTAATTCATATATTATACCTATAATTTTAATTTTCTTATATTTTAAATATTTGAAGAAATAATGAATCCACAAACTAGATGGAATAATTTGTATACGCTCGTCTTAGTCGGGACACATAATGGTATAAAGAAGTCCGTCCGTGCTAATGTCTGTCCGTCTGTCAATAGTAGCGAAAGTGTGCGCTAGGGCGAAGTTCTGAAATTGACGCTACAAAAAAACCCACACATCTAGTCTAATATAGTCAAATAGTCTGTAAGTAATCATCTTTCATTTCTCTTTTTATTTTCAATGATTTTGCTAATGAGATGGAGAGGACAAAAACAGACTTTCCTTTCTAAAGCGTCGTAAAAGGTTATTTCGAACAATTTTTCATTCCGACGGATGGTGTTTCTGAAGGTTAATTTTGTGCGGCAACAACATCATGAGATCTGATACTGATACATACATGTGATCGCTTGTATTACCGGATAATAAAGTAGGTGAATATAGTTGTTATTCTTGATTCTTGAAAATTTAAATGTGGGTTTTCAAACGTCCAATTTGCAATTTTTTTTCAAACCGTGCGACAACAAGGAAAACTTGTACTATGACGTCAGATTCAATGTTCTGAAGAACGACAACTCTTTTCTTCAAAACGAACGAGAAAAAAACATGAAAATTAATCATAACTTTTTTGAAAGGTCGGTGACATATACATTTTTTTGCTTTATTTTGAAGAGTACACATGGCACTTTCTTTCTTGAAATTTTTATGAAAAAATCACTGGTAGATATTTTTTGATACTTGAAACGTTTTTCATTCTTGCGTTTTATTTTTGGCGGGAATGAAATAAATCATATTTTTTAAGATCAAAACAATAAGAGTCTTAAAGTCTTGAACCTGTATTTGATAGACACAAATCTACTGTTTAACATGAAACAAGAATTATGCTTGTAGGTTTGATATAATGGTATTTTTTGAGAGTTTAAATAACAAGCAAATATCATGTTAATATTCGGGAAAACACGAAACTGAGGTTGCTATAGTGACAAAACTAAGTCGGTGACCCCCAATTTTTTTTATCATATTTTGTTCCTCAAAACATGAAATACCTTCACACAAAATTTTAAGGAAAAATCACTGGTAGAACTGAATAGGCTGTTTGGTCTTTAAATACATATAATATTATAATAGTGTATATCAAAGGGTTCAGTGGTAATAAATTTTTAGTATACTCCGAATTGGTTATTCTTTGTTTGGGTTTTTTTTTTTGCATTAGAGTTACCTCCCTTACAATGGTTTTGTTATAAAGAAATGTTGTATTCTCTTGAGGTGATTAGCTATCAATTTATTTTTAGAAGTTACTCTTAAATGCTGATGAAGGAATTTTATTTTGAAATATTACTATAAAATGTTGCTGACGAAGGTTTTTTAATTTTAGCCATGATTATGATGTCATTTTCTATTTAATACTTTTATGATGTATTTAAATGGGTTTTTATGGTTGCAAAGTCCTAGCTGTCAATTTATTTTTAGAAGTAACTATTAAATGCTGAAAAAGGAATTTTATTTTTAGATATTACTATAAACAAGCATTTTTCTAGTTTCAGGACAATAACTTGTGTATAAGTATTTTGATTGCTCTGAAATTGTACCACAAGGTTCAATACCACAAGTAGAAGGTTGGGATTCATTTTGGGGATAATTGCCCAAACCGTTCAGGAATTAGGGGCCAAAAAGGGTCTAAAACAAGCATTTTTCTAGTTTTCAGACAATAATTTGTGTTTAAATGTATGGATGTCTCTTAATTTGTACCACATTTTACAAAAAGAAAATTTCTTCAAAATTATTTTTTTTGGAAAGGGGGGTGGGGGTAAAATTTTCTTTTGGGGAGGGGGGGCAATTTTTTTTCCTCAAAAGAAAATTCTCTTCAAATATTATTTTTTTGGAGGGGGTTAAAAAAAAAATTTTTGGGGGGGTTCAATTTTTTTCCCCTCAAGATTTAAGAAATTGTCGATTTTCCAAAGAAAAAAATTTGGGGTCACAATTTATTTTGCTAATTCTTTGTATATAGTCTGAAATAGATTTACTAAGTATTGCGCAACAGCACTGTGTATTGCACAACAGCAAGAAATCTTCAATTTGATATAAATTCAAATCATACAACCAATTTCAAGTTCTTTGACTACATTTATTCTGTGTCCGAAACCTACAATGTGTCAAATATTTAAATACAATCCAAATTCAGACCTGTATCAAGCTTGAATATTGTGTCCATTTTTGCCCCAACTGTTCAGGGTTGGACCTCTGTGGTCGTATCCAGCTGCGCTCGGCGAAGCAGTTTATTTTAGTACATTTTAGCATTTCTACCTATTAAAATACTCATTGTTTTATTCAGGCATCTGGATATACCTCATCTACGTAATAAGGCATTAATAATGCTATAAAGTGACACAACAGTTATTTTATTCAAACCGAAAGGTTTTAGACGTTGGCTTTATGCTGAGGCAAGAAAAATGTAACCTTATATATTAATTGATTTTAATCACAGACTTTATTACAATCTTGTTTTCAAACATGACAAGAAGATGTGGTATGATTGCCAATGAGACAACTCTCCACCAGAGACCAAATGACATAGAAGTTAACAAATATAGGTCACCGTACAGTCTTCAACAATGAGCAAAACCCTTACCACATAGTCAGCTATAAAAGGCCTGCTTACTGTTTTTAACAATTTGTTTTTTTTAGTGACCTCCCAATGATATACCGTGATAACTAATTCTTATTTTTTGAAATCTAGTCATTGTAGATGAAATATACTACTGTAAATTCAGAAATTATTGCGTGCATTTATTATTGCGATATTTGGAGAATAGACAAAAATGCGATTTTATTATTGCGGTTTCCTGAAAATCTGCATACAGATATATATCAGATATCAAAATGCGAGTTCTTATTATTGGGAGACTCCCACTGTCACATTATTCGCATTAATAAAAACGTCGCAATAATTTTTGAATTTACAGTATATGGAGATGAATAACATTTTATTATTATTTCAAGAAGTAAATGCAGCCGAGGCATGCAATGCTAAATGTAACTTAAAAGAGAAATAGAAAAATACATTTTTTTGGTAACATATATATATTTAGTTTACGGTATATGGACATATTCATTTGCTCATTTTAGAACCTCACTGGTGGAATAATTTACTCTTAATTTTTTTTTAATTTCACCATATATATGTGTAACATATGAACAGACAATAATAAGAATACAGTTATAACATTTCGTATTGAATCCAATAAGATAAATTGTCTTTATCCAATTTACTCTAAATATTTATATATTTTTTTTATTAATAATTTTTTTTTGTGATTAGTTATTCATTTTTATTAATTTCACAAACTTGCATCAATATTTACTTTTTAGTTCAACAATTGTGTGGAGTCCTTTATTCAATGAAACCAAGTAGTTGAATTATGCTATGTTAAGTGTCCAGCAACATATCACTACAAAAGTCCAAAAGTCTGAAAAGACCATTTTTTGACATGATTTGCATGAACAATTACTCGACATTTTCAAAAAGTATGACTTATGTCTTAATTTTTCTTGACAAATTCTGACTTATATTAAATTTGTTTGAAAATTACTTGACATATTCTCGACATTCTGAATACGGTCTTAAAATTTCTTGACAAATTCTTGACATTTGAATACTGTCTTGAAATTTCTCGACAGGTTCTCGACATTCTTTTTTTTCTCAGTATGGCTTGACATATTCTGAACATTTTGAATTGTGTCTTGAATTTACTTGAAAATTCTGAGCTTTACAAATCATGACCAATATACATGATTTATATTTTGCCTTATTTCTCTTTATAGAATATACTGTTATTTCAAGTTACACTTATTACAACAACAACAAAAAATTGGGCATGTAAATATTTTTAAATACTTTTACAAAAATTTCAGACAAAAAGAGAATGTCAAGTAAAAATTCATGCAAATTCAGACAAAAATTGGTCTTTTCAGACTTTTAGACTTTTGTAGTGTATGTTGCATACATATTCAGGACACGAACATGTCAATGTGTTGTAGAAAACGAACAATGTTTTGTACTACACAATACTGTGTAGTCTTTTTATAAGCTCAAAAGTTAACAGTCTAGTGAATAACTTGTGTCATTCTATTGATACTAAATAAAACTGATTGTTCTGATTCATAGCCGTCCAGCCTTTATCCATAATTTTGCATACTCAGCAGAGAAACAGAGAAGCAGAAAAGATCAGTTTCCGATTTTATTTAACCTTGATGGGAATAAAACACACAACCTCCTATACTCATAGGCAAGCTCTCTGCTGTGAAACGTAATCCATATGATTTTATAGTTTAGTTTAAACATATTTTATTTGCTTAATCTAAGCTAAATAGATGAGACACTAGTAAATCATACCTATGTAGTCTTTCTCTATAATACAATAGAATTATATATATATATACACATTTGTATAATAATGATATTATGAGCATACATGTAAAAGGAACAAATTTATTGTATATTAAATAAATTAACCTATTGTTGTATACATAATTTTCGTTAATAAATAAGGGTTGCTAGTTCACAGTCTGGTATCTGTATCATTCCGGAATCGGAAAGGGTTATTCCGTATCTGGCATGATATTAACGCTCTTTCTCTCATTTCTTGTCAATGCGGGTAGCAGACCTTATTTTTATTGAGTGCAAAATATTAGAACAAAAACTATCTTATTCGTTATTATATGTGTCCTTAACATACAAAAGTCCCCCAAGGATACAGAACTATAAATAAAAAAAAGAAAATAATATTATTCTATGATTATGACTTAGGTTTTGATGATGATGTCCACGATAATGATTATCTGTGCCAGAATCAATAACACTTTATGAAGATACAAGAAATCATTTGACCTTTTAATAAATCTTGAACATATATTTGAAAATTAAGAGATTTTGTTCATTCTAATTAAAAGTTCAAAGTCTCTGCAAATTAAAAGGAAAATGATTATTAATGTTCTAATGCTTGGATATATAATAATTTTTATAAACAAGTCTAAATTGAAAACAACGTTCAAACCTATGATTGCGTTGGATAAAAAACGCAATTTTTATACGTGTGCATGCAAAACAAATTTCTTGGTAGAGGGGTCTAAATACAGCACAAACAACATTTTTCAAAAGACCAAAAAAGTGAAAAAGTATATTTTAATAAAACGCATTTGACTAACAGGTCGAACAACAAATGTTCTTAAACCCTGCTTTTATTGTATATCACTGATGACGTCACATAAATAAAGAACACAATTTTCTGCAAATCTTTGAAAAGGAAGGATAAAAATCATTAGAGAAACAGATTCTACCACTATAACTCGTGTATTACGATATTACTCCACTCTCAACAGTTAAATTTTAAGTATTTAAAAAGCTCGGCAAGCCTCACGTTTTAAATATTAAAATTTAACTGTCTCGAGAGGAGAAATATTGTAACACACTTGTTGCAGTGGTGGAATCTATACTTCTCTGTCTTAATATAATATTTATTAATTAAAATATCGATTCTTTTGATAAAGGTTGGGGTACTGGATGTTTCAGGTACTCACCCCTAGCACAAAAGGATTGTAGTGTACCCCTTTAGGAATGCACAGATTGTACTTCAATTTATTTGAAAATAATTTGCATTAAACATCTTGATTTGAAGAAAATTAATTACATTTCCAAAACATATGAAGTGCAATTACCATCACATATTCATGTATCCCAATTAAGTTCTTTTAAAATAATGAATTCTGATTTGTTGCAAAGCGTCCAAAAATATCTTTGTATTATTAATCAAGTCTTCTAATTGGAAAAAAATATTTTTACAGACACCTGTGATAAGAAGACCACCAACAGTTGTTTGTTATTTATGTGGTCGTGAATTTGGTTCCAAGTCCATAAGTATTCATGAACCCCAGTGTCTAGAAAAGTGGAAAATAGAGAACAATAAACTACCAAAGAACCAACAAAGACCAGCGCCTAGAAAACCTGAGATTCGACACGTAGGAGGTAATTTGATTCAACCCCTAAGCTCACCTCTATCAAGTATGAGAATAAATGCATTTGAGAACAAATTTATTACTGTACATTTGATTCTCACAAACTAAGATGTAGCCACCTCCAGTGCTAACTCTATTCACACTAAGATATAGTTACTGAAATACCTTCCATGTCTACTAATATATTCACAAAAGAACTTTGACAAATTCAGATTTTATCTTAGAGCTCATATCCTCAAGTAAGTATGTTATTAGTTTTGTCAATTTGATTGCAAGTTTGTTCATTAGGGCTGCACATCAAGGATGTGGGAGCCCTATAGTTTTCACTTTGTCCATCTGTCTGTCTGTTCGGATGTCTGTCTGTTTGTCTGTCAACAATTTTTGTAATCGCAAAATCTCCAAAAGTAAAGATAGGAGGCCACTGAAATTTTGCACAGTTGTTGTGTATAATATGTGCATATAATATTTTTGTGAAATTCGGCTCATTAATTTAGAAAAAATAACTGTGATTGACAAATGAAAAAAATGGAAAAAACTTACTCTTTTTAAAAAAATCACAAATTTTAAGAAGCATCTTCTTTTATGATGTCATCAAAAATTTGATATATGATATAGGCATAATATGCATTCCAAATTGTTTCCTCTAGTCAAAATTGTGTTAAAAAATGATAAATTCTGAGGATTTTTGCTAGGAAATAAATGAAAAAGATATAATTTGCTATTATGAAATGATTCTCTTTGTCAGAACTATTGGTTGTCGAACATTTATGAAAATGCAAACCAAAAAACATAGTGCATGGATTTTAACAAAACCAATATTAATCGGGAACACATCCTGAACTAATTGCTTGTGTCAAAATTTATGAAAATTGACAACTTGCGAACATTTTCTTTGTATGCATCAGTCTAAAAAAGTGCTAGCGGTGCCCTTGTTGACATGTCAGTTTTCTCTAGTTTTTATTAAGTAAGCCAACTGATACAATACAACTAAGATTGACATTTGACATTATGATTAACAATCAATTCAGATCAAAGGCTGACTTTTGATTTGAAACTCCTTCTTTTTCATACAATCTTAATTGACTAAACTTTTAAACTTTTGACTGACATAATTCAGTGACAGCTTTATTACTGCTTGTCTATGTCAAATAACATGTGTATATGTTCTAGATCTGGACCATATGAGTATTTGGACCATACTCTTAGGACCATATTAAATGGCCGGACTATATGAGTATTTAGACCATATAGGTATTTTTCAAATAAATTCTAACTTCCTTCGCAGGAACTCACAGTTCGTTCACCGGATCAAATCAGCACACTTAGCTACTACATGATTAATCCTTAATCTTTGACATATTGTCTAAGTCTTGGTGTATCTATTATCTTGCTGTTGCTTAAGTCAATTTAAGGCGCCATTATCCTGTAGTAAGACATATTTTTCGTCCGTAAATGAAACCAAAGGCAATAGGTGTCATGTAAAAATGTATTGTTTTTTATCTTTCTAAATGCATTATGTATTTAGAGTTACGCCCCTTAGATATCCAAGCATTGTTAGTCAGCCATTGTTATCTTATTGACGTACACCACATGGTTGCAGATGTAAAACTTGAATAATGGAGCAACTAAAGTCTGCAGAAACACTAAATTTGGATGGGAATTTAGCCGAAAACTATAAAGGCTGGATTCAATCATTTGAACTTTATCTAACCGCTACAGGAATCGGAGAAAGGTCAGAGAAGGTGCAAGTGCCTACTTTTCTGCATTTCGCAGGCTCTGAAGCACAAAGTGTTTACTTTACTTTTGAAATTGCTCTGGATGATAAAGGGAAAATTTATGTACTGAAAGCTAAATTCAAGGATTACTTTGAGCCGAGAAAGGAAAAACCTACAAGATTCTAATCTCATTAGTATGGCAGTCACAGATACAATTAAAGTAATAGTTGCCTCAGTTTATTTCTTTAATAATCATATGTAGTTACACAATTATGTTTTTTCCTCTTGTCAGAAACTACCAACTAAATATCTAGCACTAAATAGAACTTTTTTTTATATCAAAAAGGAAAAGAAAGTATCATATATCAATTGAAATTAAATCAAAAAACTGTTTTGTTTATCATGTTTATAAAATACATTGTTTCTCTTTAATCAATAAATTGAAACATTGCATTTACATAGAAATATATACATTTAGCAAGGAGATCTAACCAAAATTCTGTTAATGCCTGTGGTATGGGTTATTTTCACTTTTAGGATCATTATTCTTCTGTCAGCAGTGCCATTCGTGCTTCTGTAGTTATTATCATAAGAAAACAGATTTCAGTCAAAGTTGATGTTGAATATCACCTCCAATCCATAGTTCGTACAAAAATTTCAATGGCAGACAGAAAAAATTGTTTAAAAACAATCAATGTTTGACAAGCAATTTGGAAAGGAATGACGTTTTTAATACAATAAATGGATGAATTATTAACTAAAGGCAATTTTCAGCATATCCTTATGAAGTAACAAAACTTCTTTTGCCCAAAATTAGAATGTTTTAATGTACAATTGTATGCTCTCGAGTGACAAGTACTGGTATTGAAAGAAATACTTAAAAAAAAGTTGATTCTTTAAAATAACATACAACCAATCTGTTTAGTCAATGCTTTCACCTCTTTTCTAAAGTAATAAATTGTTTATGTCTTTGAACTTCTTTACTTTTAAATAAAAAAAATTGCTGTTTAGTCGATTTGGTAATAATGAAAAATTGCTGATGACGATAGCAACTGAAATGACAACATTACGCTTTTACACTGACAGCAGTAATTGCAGGTGAGACACAGGTTTCCGCAGAACCCTTTACAAATTTTATTCTCAAACACATAAGTATCAAAAGTATGAAGTTACTACTAGAAAGAGGGGGGATGGGGGGATGTTGGAGGGAGGAAAAATGTAAAACAACTTGAATATTGACAACATGCCCTTTTCAACTTTGTAACCAATGTCACATTAATTGAACAGACCTCTACAAATTCCTTATATACACCCAACTGAAACCACCTGTGCAAAATATTTCCTGGGAAAATACCATGTAGGGGAAACCCCTAAATAGAATAATAGAACATAAAGAAATAGATTTATTTTCTAACTCATTTCATTTATGCTAAAATAAATATAGTCTGATATAAACAACAAAAAATTCAGTGGGTTGTAAGTTTGTTACAAAGATCGCATTGCAAAGGGGGTCTTTAAGAAAGAAAGAATTGCAAACCCATATTAAAAAATACTAAAGGTTTCTGTTCAATGCTATTCTTGATATACCTGTCCTTAGCTTTAGATCTGTTTGTTGCCCAAGGCCTGTGTAATTTAAGTAGGCGGTGAGGAACCTTATTATTAATAGCTGCCAAAACTCTCCCACTGTGTAAGGCTGTGAAGAGCATAACAATTATCTATCTAAACATAATATCTTTAAGTGCTGACAGAAAAATTTCCCTACATCTGGTGTAAGAAAGAGGTTTTGACTTATTAATAGCTTTGTTCTCACCAAAAAATCTTATAAAGTTTATGGCAGTAAAGAGAAATTTGTCTGAGACCTGCTGATGCAATGTATATTTTCTTAACCAGAAGTCCATTTTGAGTTTTTGCAATAATACCTGAATTGTACTTTGAATGTCACTTTGGTATCTTTCAGCTCTCATTTGCCTCTCCAGATGTATCAATCAGGTTTACTTTTAGGAATTTTGACGTCCAAAAATTTTAACTGAAAATCCAAATCAGACATCCTAATATTAGATCATATAAGTTTGTTCACTTTTTCAAAAAAAAAAAACAGAAAACACAGGAAAACACATGACACAAGTGCGCAAAAATATAAAGATCTCTATTACTGGTAATTGGTTCCTTTTTTTTTCAAAGGTATGCTCACCATTCATTTTTGTCTTGCTGTATCAGACTTCCAAAAACAAAGCAACAGAAGACACGGATGCCACCAAAAATGACAAATTGCTCTGAACACACCATATCCACAAAGTCATATATTTTGTTGGTTTCTGTCGATCGATGAAAGGTAGATGCGTACAGATCTTGCCAAAGTAGTATGAGATTTGTAGTTCTCTAGTTCTTCCAGTGGCTGGCTAAGCATGTAGCATCTGTAAAAAATATCAGACTAATAAATAATACAAGTATATGAAGGAGAAAAATAACCATAGATAATTATAGATATAAAAATGTCCATGCATGTGCAAAAATATGTAAAAAAATAATCAAACTATTGCTCAAAACAAATGTCTGATCATAATTAAGAAATTGAATTTTTAGATTTATAGCATGTAAAGTGCGTAAACGGCCGTAAACCTCTCATAATAAGAAGTACAGGTTCTCCACAAATAAACAGTTATAACCGGTATCAATAAACATGCATTAATACTTTTTAACAATATAAGAGTACAGTCCTTTCTAATTATTTATCATAACCAAAATAGAGGTGCAGAATTCCATGAAAAATACTCAATCATGATTAGTCTCAAAACATAACACTAAGATGCTTCATTCAAAAGTCTGGGTAGCAAAAATGATACATCTATCTGAACCAGCTGTTAAAAAGTTAGTGGGATATTTGTATTCTACATAGTCTACAATTAAAGTTATAAATTGTCCACTCAAATCAACGATCAAAGGCCAAAAAAGTGGCCGATATCCAATTAGACACAACAAGTACACCTTTAGCTCTAAAAAAAATTAAATGTTTAACCGTCCTATTGAACAAATTTATAGGTGGAACTATCCAGCTATACTAATGTATTAAATAGTGAGGAAAAGCATCAACCCTGCTAGTACCTGGTATCCAAAATAAAGAATAAAATTTTGTTTGCATCAGTGTAAATAATACAGGCAGGTAGTCTAAAGAAAGGGGAAATAACTCTAGGTGATAAAATATCAATATTATGATACCAAAAGTGAAGCTATATATAGCTTCAGATGGAAGCGTAATTTTTTTGTCCCGAAAAGTTTTCATGGCAATAAGCATAGACAATTGTCGAGTAAAAATCTGACAAATAGGACTATATGCAAATATCATAGAAATGATAGCTAGAGCCAACAATGGATGCAAGTTACCTAGCTGTAGCAAAAGACTAAGTAAATGAACTTTAAACCAGAGATTTTCAAGTTTATGAACAGGTATATCAATCTCAAACAATCCAAAACTTGAAACATATGACCATCGTCTTTTTTCATAATTCACAAATAAGCTTGTGTGGTTAATATCATTTTGTAACTGTACAAAGGTTTTGTGAATATATACAGTCCGCCAAAAGGTAAGCATCACCTAAATATAACTGGCAATATTTTTTTAACTATTTCGTAACAAATATTTATGTTTGGTGTTATGAATTGCCTTTAACATACACTAAGAAAATTCATTACGACCAAAAAGATTGAACTTCGATAAACCCGCCAAGCAACTTTTTATTAAAGGTCATCTGCACTTTTACAAATGCACTGTTTCCATGCCTCTAAATCATCTTCCTACTGTTCAGCGTACAGGTGAAATTTGACCTTCACCAAGTCCTGGTGAAATATGGCAAGGCGTAAGTTATCTGTGGCTGAACGTTGGCAAGCAATTGGCATGTCAAATGCCGGTAGGAGCACTAGGAGCATAGGTAACCATTTCAATGTTAATCACACCGTCATTGTTAGACTTTTACAAAGTCATGTTGACACAGGAACTGTAAATGATAGACCACGGTCCGGAATACCCCGTTTAACTAACTGTCGTGATGACAGACTGCTTATTGGTCGTGCTAAAGCCAACCCATTTACTCCTGCTCCACAGCTTAGACACCACTGGCCTCCAGGTGGTCGTGTTAGTGTTCGAATATTGCTCCTTCGACTTCATAGAGGCTATCTAAGAGCACGTCGTGTTGTCAAGAGACCTGCCCTAACAGCCAGGCACTGTATAATCAGGTTTCAATGGGCTTATGACCATCGACACTGTAACATGAGAAGCTGGCAAAAAGTTCATTGGTCAGATGAGAGTCGGTTTCTGTTACGACCAATAGACGTCAGAATACGCGTTTGGCGGGATAATAAAACTGCCTATGACCAAAACAACATTTGCCCAACGACTGCATTCGGTGCTGATGGTGTTAAAGTATGGGGTTGCTTCTGATACTGTTGTAAGCTGGGTATGCATATTCTGCAGGGTAACATGAACAGACAGACATACAGGGATTTGGTGCTTAGAAACATTGTAGTCCCTCATTTTGATAATCATCCACTTGCGTCAAGACCCTTGTACATGGACGACAACGCTAGACCACACAGGCCAATGATTGTAACCGAGTACAAAGAGCAAGAAGTCATTGACACTTTTGGCCTTCCATGTCTCCAGACATGAACCCTATCAAACATGTCTGGGATGCCATTGGCAGAAATTCCAATCGCAGAAATCCACCTTTGCAAAATCTTGGCGATTTAAGAGTGTCAATTGTTGATGAATGGAATAGATTTGCTCAACTAAACCCCAGAAGGCTTGTACAGAGTATGAGACGCTGTGTTATGTAACTGTACCGGAAGAGAGGTGGTTACTCAAATATTGACATAAAATTTGCCGAACATACCAAAGATTATTTGTAGAGACTTTTAATGATATTTGGTGATTAATTGTTGTAAAAAAATTAAATCACAGTGAAACTTAAATTCCGTTTCTGATTTGTGTAATTTTCACTATTTCTACGAACTCAAATTTCAAATGCATAGAACCTGCATAAGTGACCAAACTTAAGTTTATGGTTTGTTTATGGTATATGTTAGCATAATTGCTACATGAATATTTTCTCTTTTTCAGGGATTAACTGATTTTTTAAATGAAAAAAATTTCGATGCAATAAAAATAGGTGGTGCTTAACTTTGGCGGACTGTATATAAGCAGCCCTACAAAGGTCAAGAGGAAAAACTGAAAATAGGAAAAATAGTAACTTATTACTAAATTTGTCTTCACTTTTATCAGTCATATCAGAATCAGTATTCCTTAACAATCCCCAAATCATATCTGTCTGCTATTCTTAGTATATTATTATGATGGGTAAGAGCCTTTTTCTCTGAATATATCAAATCGAAAATTTGTTTAACACTTCCACCTGATAAAACCTACTTAATCATGTTAATGTGGGCTAGATTACAGTGTCTCTCCTCGTTAAAAGAAATCTGGATTTTATTCCTTCTGCCTTCAAAGTCCTTGTTTGTCTGCAGTTTTTTCCTGTAGATTTGAAACTATAGAGGAACCCTGTTTGTCTAAAGCAATGTCTATTTTGGAATTGAACAAACTAACTGCATCTACTTCATGGAATTCATTAGTGTCTTTGGGATTCTGCACATTTGTATTGTTTTGAACAGTTATTTTTTTCTTTCAAAGTCAGATATTTCACAAAACAACATCTCTAAGTATATGACGAATTCAGAAGAATCTAAATATTGACAACACATTCTTTTCAACTTTGTAACAAATGTTACAGATATTATAATCGAACAGACCTATACATCCGACCGAAACCACCCATGCTAAAACTTCAGCTGGGAAAATACCATGTAGGGGAAACCCCTAAAGGAAATAATGGAATGCAAAAAAATAGATATATATCAAATAGCAAACCCTGCAAGACAAGATCTACAAGTAAATCAACATGACTGAAGTCATCAGTCAAATCCTTATAGCCCTTAAATGAGTTTTTTTCAACATTTTTTGAAAAATTTGCTATGATTTGAAAGCTACAAAAGAAAGAAAGAAACTGAAAAAAACAAAAATCATCAGTTAGACTAGATCTATAAATTATTCAACAATGACTGAAATAATCAGTCTACTCCAAATAAGAGCTATTTCCCTACAATTATGTTTCATGTCATTTTTGGCAGAGCTATAAAAAAACAAGAGAAGCTGTTAAATGAAAAAAAAAATCAGCAAAATAAAATATACAATTTGTCTTGATCTGCTTACCTTTCCAGAGCACCTGAGATCACCTTTTGTTATAAAGGGGTTCATAGTGCTCTTGCTTTAATTTTGAGTGTTGTACTTAATGCTTTTTAATTTTTCAATGTCTGTGTTGTTTATACCGGCAACAGTCTCGTTTGTCCTTTGTCATGACAAACATGTTTTATTTAATAAAAATTTCACTGTCAGTCAAGTTTCAGGATTAGAACATTTACCTTACCAATGGTTTATTAATTTGGGGATGTCTTAGGGTTAGATAAGAGTCAATTATCAAACTGCAATTTTGTTATATCATATCACTTGATACTTATCAACAAATTTTATAGCAGTATGACGAGTTTCGCAGTGGAGTAGGATCTGCTTACCCTTCTGGAGCACCTGAGATCACCCCAAGTTTTTGGTGGGGTTTGTGTTGCTCAGTCTTTAGTTTTCTATGTTGTGTTTTGTGTTCTGTTGTTTGTGGTTGTTGGTGTTTTTCAAGGCGTTGTCAATTTATTTTCGACTTGTGAGTTTTGAGTGTCCCTTTGGTATCTTTTGCCTCTCTTTTTCACCCAAATCCACAACAGACTCCCATTAGGAGTAATTCTTCTTAAATTACAATTTCTACAAATTCTTGTGTTTTTTTTTTTACTATTATCTTGAAAGCTGTTATAAATGATCTTCTTTACATGAGTTATTGCCCTTAGTGAACATAACCAAATTTATTAATTAATTTCTTATAATGTGACTTACCGAATTAGACTATTTACCTGATTTGTAATAACATAAGCAACACGACGGGTGCCACATGTGGAGCAGGATCTGCTTACCCTTCCGGAGCACCTGAGATCACCCCTAGTTTTTGGTGGGGTTCGTGTTGCTTAGTCTTTGGTTTTCTATGTTGTGTCATCTGCACTATTATTTGTCTGTTTGTCTTTTTATTTTTGGCCATGGCGTTGTCAATTTGTTTTCGATCTATGAGTTTGACTGTCCCTCTGGTATCTTTCGTCCCTCTTTTATAGGAGTTACTCTCCTTAAATGATAATTTTTTTTGTAAGGTGTACATGTCCGTCTTGCATAGTTCATCTGACCATGGACTATCTAGTAACTGCCTAGTAAAACCTTTGTCTCAAAGACTCTCTATATAGATTCAATCATGATCAGTAAAACAGGCAAGATATTTCAACCTGTATACTGTTGTTGTCAGTTTAAAGGGCCAAATAATTTATGCTTTTATCATTGTCTGCAATCTGACCAAATATTGTTTTCATTGTAAAATACAGAACTTAATTATCTTCTGGAATGATAGGAACAATTATATTGTATGCTTTTGTCAGGGAAAGGGTCATATGATGTAGATGCATTTAATCAGGCTGCATATGAGAGTGCTCAGTCTCAGCTGTTACCATGTGAGAATTGTGGTCGTACATTTAATCCAGATAGACTTCCTGTGCATCAAAGAAGCTGTAAACCAAAACCAAAGCCAGAATGAAAGAGAAAAGGTTAGTTTTTTTTATTCCTTGGCCATGGGCCATGTGATCATTCATAATTTCTTCAAGTTTACTACTCATAATTTCTTTATCGTCATCATACATGATAAAGACTTTGAACTTCTTCCCTTGAACTACTGAAGCAATGACACCAAACTTGACCGAAATATAATTAAGTTCAATTATACAAAAAGATTGATACTTAGGTTACCATCAAGTAACAAACATAAACATTCTTGATTTTTTTAATCTTCAAATATCATCACAAAAAAGGTATTCTTGAACAATATCCCAGGTACATTGAGATGAAATTGAAAACTTTTGATAAGCATTTTAATTTCATTAATATATCATCACGGAAAGTAAAGAAATTGAATATTTATATGGTCATATCAATTAGTTTACCTCTTATCATAAGCTATTGTGGATTTTATTTTCCCTATTTATTAGTATCAATAAATGAATGATTGATATCAATAAATGAATTATTAAAAACAATAAATGAGGGTTATAATAATAAACAAGGATTTATTGAAATCAATAAAGGAAGTATTTTTATTGTAAATACATTATTAATATGAATATATATATTAAGCATATATACATTCTTTAGTTACATATTGTTTGATTGCTATATTTAAAGAAAACCCTGAACCTTTTTATCACGTTTGTTTTGGCTGGTTACGGATAGCAGCCGATCAAATTGTCTTATTTAAATCATGCTTTATCTGGGGTTAATTTACCAACCAATAGGCATTGACTTTTTAAATTTCTGGATTTATTCTATTCTAATAATATTCAATCAGGTGTTTTTTTTTGCACAGTCAATGCAATATGCATCCTAGCATCCCACATCATTTAAAAATTTTACAAGCAGCAAGCACAGTGTATGTCAAATCAAGCATAGTTGTTATTTCTTTTATTTTCTATTGCCGATTTAGTAAGGCATTTTGTATAGATATTTTTTCCACACAACATCTAGCTTAATAATTTTTCATGGATACTAATGATCTTTATTTGGATCACATTTTCTTCTCTACAGTTGTGTCTAACTTTCTTTGTTCATGGTCATAGTATATTTTAAAATATGAAGAGAGTACTGTGCACATGCGCTAAATTCGTACGTATTCTTTTTCAGCTTCAAGCTCAAGCAAAAAAACTTCCAAAAGTTATTTGTATCGTTTGTAAAAATTTATTTAATTCATTTTCAGTTGTGTAAAAGTGTTCCATTATCATTATATTCATTGTAACACATAAGTTAGGACCTATCATAATCAATATCAATTGACACTGAAATCCTTACTTAGAGTTTGGTTATACCTATGTAAACAAAGGACCAAATGGTGGCAAATACAAAACAGAAACAGTCAAGTGGAAGTTAAGAAAGGTGTGTAGGTGAGTTCATCTTATCACCACCTTCTTACACAACTGAACAATGTCATATCATTTCTATTTTTAATGTCATTTTGATGTCCCACAGTTATGTCCAGCCAATAAAGCAGACCCATAAATTATTTTAACAAAATCAAAACAAGGGGAGCATATGTTTACGGCCATTATAAAAAACTACAACTCAGCGTATGATAACCATTTAACCATCATTGACAATATCAGAACTGAAATTCTAAGTTTGAATGAGAGAAGATTAATATATTGTAAAATGATAGAAACCATCTAACTTATCTCTCAATGATACTATTCCTAATATCAAACAATGTAAATCTGAACCCCTGGATCTGAATGTTCAAATACAAGTGTAACTGTATATCCATGTGACATATGTGACCAACCAGTAACATGGCAAGAAAGAGGTATCGTTTGTGATACATGCAATCAATGGTACCACATCAGTTGTCAGTCTATGCAAACAAAGTCATACTTAGAACATGTAAATGACTTAGCCATTGCATAGGATTGCATCATGTGTAATTGTCCAAATTACTCCACCTTCTGCTATTCTTTAGTATTCAGCACTTCATATCAATTGAGCATACTATCAAATATATCCATCAACAGTCTAACACCTGGTGTCATAAGACCATTACATACTTTAACGCCAGAATGGAAAACAAAAAAGAAAAAGGAGCAAGATTAATCAAACCTAAAACTATTTGGGAATTAAATGTGAACTTCCAGTCAATAAGAAACAAACAAGGTGAACTGATAAATCTTATTGAAAACACTAAGCCAGGCATAATTTTTGGAGCCGAAACCTGGCTAGATTAATCAATATAAGACACACAATATTTTCCAAATGGATATGATTACAATCCTAAAACATCAAATGAAAGGGATATACTGAATATGGAATCCGCATTGAAAGAGCTAGCTAAATAAGAAATGTTTTTATCTTCTTAGCTGGTGACTTCAACCTACCAGGCTTAGATTGGTCTAGGGAAGAAATTAAGCTTCATACTCAATGTATAGCAAATCATGTTACAAACCCACCAGAGGACCTGAGCTAATTCACTTGACCGTGTGCTAACAATCATTCTGATAGCTTTATGAGAGTTGAAACCTTACCGGCAGACTATCAGACCATGACATTGTTTTCGCATAAGTTAATCTCAACCTCAGAAAACTTTTCAAAAAGCGAGGATTATACCATTAAACGGAAGAAAATTTGGAAATCAGGAAAGCTTACAGGAACTAAATTGACAATAGTCTCCCCACCAGACCTGATCAAACCTCAAGAAAAACCAAACTGTATGAAGAGATTCTGGACCTTTTATAAAGCACAAGAGGTCAGATGGGAGTAAAATACCACCACTGAAACAAATGGAACTTTACAATCAGAGCCAACAGAAAAAGCAGACATTACTTAACAGACAATTTCAGAAAGCCTTTGCAAACAAAACCAACATATCAAATAAAGAATTCCAAAAGCACTGTAACATGTCTGGAAACTTTCAAAACATCTCTGACATCAATAAAACAAAAAATTGATGTGTACAAATTTCTGAACACCACGAGTCTTTAAAGAACTTTCATCAAGTATAGCACCAATCCTGACAACTATATTCCGCTGCTCATATCTTACAGGGGAAGTGCCAAGTATTAGGAAATCAGCTAATATCTGTCCAATGTACACATCTGTCATACCAACAAAATGACATCCACAGATTGGAGATGGTTCAGTTTAGAAGGGCAGCAAGGTATGTTACTAAAAGATATCACAACACTTCGTCAGTTAGTAACATGCTTGAACATCTAGAATGGACTATCCTACACGATCGCAGAAAATAGAGTCGATTGTTAATGATGTATAAGCTTAATGACAGCTTTGTGAAAATTGACACATCTAATAAATTTATACCAAATGAACACCCTTCCAGTAATAACAACGAAAAAGCATTCAGAATTCCATCATGTAGAACAACTGTCCAGAAGCCAGGAGTCATTCTATCCTAGAACAATCAGAGAGTTGAACACCTTACTGACCTGTAATGTTTCTGAATCTTTCAAGATAAACAATAGACTTATATGATTACTTAAAAATACAGATGTGCACATAATGATATTAGTTACACAGTTTGCTAGTGACCTAATACGATACATATGGGGTCAGTAAATTCATATGGAATTAACTTACCCCATATATCGTATTAGGTCATTAGCAAACTGTGTATCAAATTTATCTTACCGACTATTTTAACATGTGGCATTTAGACTAGTGGCCTATCAAAGTGATCGTCTTCAACATAAAGAACCTACTTCCATTCGTCTATACAAAAACAAAAGCTAACAATAACATTTTTTTAGCTTTTAATGTGTTTTATGAAGGAGTAAATTCAGTAAATAAATATACGTCATCAGGGACTGCCCATTTGGGGGAGAGCTTTCTGTATATTACTAAAGTCCTGTGCTCTTCTGATTGGTAGGTAATGTTTGTAATAAATATGCTTTGATAGATGGATCAAAACTAGAGTTAAAAAAATGAAAAAATGAATGCTGAATGCACTTAATTTTTTTACTGCAGGGTTGAAAAGTAATGGGGGTGATTATAGGAATTAAGTGCGAATCTACAGTGTTTGTAAACAAGGCCATGTGATTGCCCAAAAATGCTGCATGACCCTATGTTTTTATTGTTGCAAAAGATTGGGCAACATTTGTACTCTAATGAATGATATATGAAAACTTCTGATTTCTAAAGGTAATCAGGTATAAATTTAATTCAAGACATAGATTTGCATTAAAGTCAATCGGAGATTTTTTACTGAATTTACCCCTATATTGTTATACAAGGAACATGCATACAATTCTTAAAATTCATCCACATGAATTATGGGTACTAAGATGACCCATGTTATCTAGGTACCTGTTCGTTATTATGATATTCATGAGTTAATACTGATATATATTTCTCAAGACAAAACATGTTGATTACAAATAATTGTTCATAAAAGATATTTTCATGAAATTTCATTGATAATAATAATATATATGAAGCGATGAAGAATTCCATTTAGCTCTGGATATAGTTAGTGAACTGCAACCAGAGTTCATTTTTTAAAATTTTAATGTACTGGAAGAACACACACCTATATTGCATATCGATGGAAAGAAGAAAATGTTTACAAAAAGAAATGTGTGGTCGTAAAATACCCAAAATGGTCACATTTTTGCAAAATTGAGTTCATAGGTCAAACCTCAAATGTATCATAAATTCAAACATGAAGAAAAAAGAAGGAAATTTATAAGATATATTCAGTAAAATGCTAAAAAGAAGATTTGATAACAAGCATATACTGCAAATGATGTCAAAACGACAAGTTTAGCTACCGGTATTTGTATGAACAGCTGCCATTACAAAATGGCGTCAATGCTGAATTGATCTTCTGATTTTTTTCTATTTATTACAAAGAAAATGTAGATGTGGCCTTGACCTTTTCTCATCCATTTATTTTTACATTGCTTATCTTTTTTCACCGCAGCATATAACATAATTGTAAAACACCAGTTTGTCGATATATTTTAGTTATTTTTCTTCCTTTAAAAAAAAACAAAATTCA